ACATACCCCAGAATGCAAACAGTACAAACAACTTTGGAAAAAACGATCCAAATGTAGCATAAATACTCCGTATAGGGGATTGATATATGATATATGCTATCATATACTCATAGAGATTATGATAGACATAGTGATATATTTAAAGCATAAATCTGTGGTAAATAAAGGGGTTAGCGAAGGTACTCCGTAGTCTAGTTATATATAAGGTGGATTCTACCTACGCAATATCAATTACTATAAGATAAAAGCCCATTATGACTAGTAGAAGCAACCTTGATCCAGACGTGGCAAGGAATGGAGTCCGAGTGGTACGACTGTCCTATCATACCTACATACCTAAGGTAGTGTCTAGACTGTCGATCCAATCATGGATTACCGTATCAATGTGGTCCCGAACGGATGTTAGGGCCTAGTATATATGCCGCTGCAAAGACAAACAGAGGTTCTGTTTGTCCTTATGATCTTTTGGCCTAGCGGCTAAATGCTCTTATGTAATCACTTAGGTGTAGCGGCCTGAGTAGTTAAACCTGCCCTTCCGGGCAGGATTACATCAACCCATATGGTGTGTCACCTGACTTGCCTCTGAAGTCATTGACATTTAAATAGTTTGAATTGCATCGCCTTATTCCCCGATTATCTCTGAATTATTCACAATTCAATATTTGAACCTCACTTTATGTACATTTATCGTACACAGTGTGATCGACAGACAGCCTAAGGTCAACATCCCTCCCATAACTGATCCACATAAACCCAGACCTCCACACCATGCAATCAGCAACTTCGCGACCAATTCTTCGTATCACTACAAATCCAACTCTTCTGCGATCCCTTTCCAGTACCCCAAGAATCATGGGTGCAGGTGATATAGGTTCGACAAAGTCGGGCTTTATGTCCGAGTATGGTGGCACACTACAAAATGAATGACGTCATATCTGACTATCAGCAGGAAAGACTCTTTCGCCAAGCGCGAGGCGGCACACGAAGCCATGTACATTCGACAAATTGAAATGGAGAAGTGAGTAGCACTGACCCAATTTCAAGACATCCAATTTACTTGAGTGATAGGCTTGAACGTCTCAAAGAAAAGCTCAAGGAGCAGCGCAAGCATATGGACGAACTCGACAAGCATCTGTAGGGATCCTGGATTCTCCCCGTGTGGCCAACACTGACAGATCACAGCGATGAGTATACCAGGTCTCAGGGGGGCGAACAGAACTAGCCTTGCGACGAAGTCGCAAGCATCCCGTGAATGGCCTAGATGGTGATACGATCGAATTCACCCGACATATCGACATACGCATTACAATCGACTCGACTTTTAACTAACAATAGTGTCATAATGCTTTTCAAACTTGTGTACACGATAATTTGCTAGCCTAGCGTTATTACGAAATGAAATGCAACATCGACTTTTAACCAGGAGACTCCACTCTTAGTCTCTTCGTCAGCTCTAAATCTTTGCCTGCCACCTCCACCGGTAACTCAGACAGGCCCATCTGGCCATCACAAACAAACCAAGTGACACTATGAGAACACTTCCCAAATATGCCACCATGGCTTGCTTCCCGACTTTGTCGAGCATTTCACCGCCAATGGGGATACAGATGAGTGTGCTAAGGTTCTTATTAGTGACAAACCAAGAAACGGGATTTCAATGACTCACGCAAAGCTGACAATAGAATATGTCAAGCCGAACCTTCCACCAACCTCGCTTGCCCTGGAGATCTGCCCGATGCAGGCTGGTGCAAGACTCAGGAATGATCCTGAAGCCAACCCGAAAATGACCGAGAACATATAAAGTCCTATCAGGGAATTGCCAAACGGCAGCCAGATTACAAACACTGCAAATGCACCCAGAGCAATGAGTCCGGTTTGAGTGTTGATTCGACCAAACCGATCAGCCACACCTCCAGCCACCAGTCGTCCTATCGTGGAGGCTCTGTGCCAGACTAGTCAGCGATTGCCCAAGAGACCATCAACGTGCGACTTACACGTTCTGAACAGCAAGAAGAACAACGCTGGTATTGGTAGAAAACCCTTGCATGATCACATAGGTTGGGTAAAGACCCAGACCAGCAAAAACCTCGAGCTCAAGAGCTATATCAAATCAGCATTTCTTTTCTTCTACCATCCGGATCCTCGACCAAAATCAACCCACCAAAAATGCCGAATGTCAGCCAGGTAAACCTCGCATCTTGCAAAGAACGCAAATTGATAGTCGATTTGCTTCTCCCCTTCGGAAGGCGTGCCTTCACCAGAGCTGTTCCAAGCACACCCAATATTAGCACCAGCAATGCCAGCAATCGAATTGTCCACTTATATCCAAGGTTGGTGAACCCGGATCTGAGAACAAATGGAAAAATTACTCCACCAAGGCCTGCGCCCGACATCGAAATCCCAATTGCAAGGGCTGCCTTTCGATCGAACCATTGAGGCACACTGGCCAACGCGACTGTGCTCAAAAGGGCCGCGCCGGTCCCGGAAAGAACGCCAAGGGTAAGAACAAAGTGCCAGTAAAGGTGGCTTTCAGCAAGAAGAAGAAGGCCAGTCACATAGCATATAGTGCCAGCTATGAGAATGCCCCTGGGACCATATCGATCAAACATCGGCCCAACTTGCACAGAAATACTCAGACCAAAGAACGTGAATAGTCCTGGAATCCAGCCCACTGCACTGGGTGAGTAGCTGGCCAGCTGATGAGTCGCGAAATAATTTTGCAGAATTCCCGTCGTGTTCATCACGCCGAATGTCCCCATCAAGAGACAGAATGAACCCGCCACAACACACCATGCCTGCAGCCCTCCATCTGGGAATGTGTCTTCGGTACTATGACCGGTAAGATGGGTGGTGAGTGTGGATAGCTCGGCTGGGGGTTCGACAACGGAAAATGCCGACCGGGGAGCTTCTTCGTCGAAGTTTGAGTGGTGACTCGTGGGATAACCAGTAGGATAGTCAGCCACGCTTGTCGAGGCCGATTGCCATGGCTGTTGCACTGGTTCTTGCACAGATGCGGTGGCAGACTTTTGCATTATGATGTTCTTGAGCCCCAACAGATGATAGAAAGATTGAGGCGAGACTTTAAAACTGCGGTAGAAATGAAAGGCAGCGCACCCCTCAACAATTTTACAGAATATCCAGAATTCCAGTTATGTGGAGGTGACTCATTACGATAAGGGTTTGCATTAATCTCCATGATTTCATGGTGGGGTAAACGATTGTGTTATTTTGTAGTATACTTCGGCATCGCCTTCCGATGTTCCAACTTGGGGGATGCTGTGGTCGCGAACAAGAGAATATTTTTTGGAAATCAATTTTTGGGGCTTGGAGCCACTCAATCCTCCAATGGCTTTAATTGATATTACTATTCTTTGAATTATACAGAGTGCCCAGGTGATACTTCCTCTATAAGAGATCCCCGCCATCGGCTCCCTTTCCGAGATCACATGGACGGTTGACTTGGTATCCATTTCATGAATAAAGGTAAATTTATGTTAGATATACACATGTAGGTGGATGGGCTAGTGGTTTTGGAAATATATTCGTATATTCCGACGCCCTTCCTTGTCGCTGTACTCCATATGTAGATATGCAATCGGTCTCTGCGGAATTAGTACCCGATATGTATATTGGCATCTACCGCTTTTTAAGGGGAACTCATATCATAACATATTTTTCTTCCTGGACTTCAAAGTGAGAAACTGATCGTATTTGAATGAAAAAGGACCATTCGGCAGTTATGTTGCAGAATGAGGTTGAAGATCAGTGGCATGACACTCGCGCCACCCAACCCCCCCAATATCCCGCGCCGCCAAACATTCCGATTTTCTCCATTGTTACTTACTTCAGACTAAGTGGCATGATTTGGAAGTAAGCCAGCTGACGTTATGATGATTTCGGTTGTGAATCACAGTTTTTGTATAGCTAGCATATATTCTATCCTATTTCTCTTCACCAAGAGCCAGATCATCCAAGATCTACACACATCAATTGAGATCACTATCCTCCACAATGTCCGCAGCACAATGCACCAGGCTCTTCACCAGAAACATCCCTCAAGTGAGGCGGCAACGCCAAATACAAAGTCCTCGCGTCACTCTCGTTGGGAGTCCAGCTCCAAGTCACAACCCTACCATTGACTCCGAAGTTCTACCATATCGACTCTACGAACTCTCACTAAAGAAGATCCGAAAAGAGGCCCACGCTGCTGAGCCCGATCTACGCCATGTAATTGCTGGCGTCACAATGCAAAAAGTGGTTTCCAGTGCCGTGCATGATGATCTTCTACATAGAGTCGACATGATCGAAACCGCAAAATTACCTCGAAGACTACCGATCTTACCAGGTGCCGATGAGCCCTGGGAACATGAAGAAATTGCTGCAAATCAAGCAGCAAATCCAAATGCGTGGGATATGGAATCTCTCGATCAAGCGCTTTGTGAGATGGAACGCGCTAGCAAAAAAGGAAATGTTGCAAAAACTGTTTGTTTTCAATTAATTAGTGAGATGTGAAACTTGAACATCAACTTTATCCCATCAATCTTTGTTTATTTAGACGTTGTTTGAAGTTAATAAGAAGCCATCTAGATGTTTAAGCGTTACTTGGACGTACATGGACGTATCTACACGCTTAGACGTGAGTTTACCGTTACTTAGACGTTACTGAGATGATATCTTAAGCTAAGACATCGCCTGTATGGCGGCCACAGACTCCTTGTTGTACCGCTGGGCGTCTATTGACACAATATTACCCCTTTCCCTCTTCAAAGTGCTCGACTTGTGTGCAATACTTAACAGGCAGGGATTTTGTACCCCTAACCATCTACTACCTCAATCATAACACAATTTCCTATTTAGTAAAGCTTCTTGTCTTTGTTCAATCCTCTTCTCTTTGCTCTCAAACCCACCTTAACTCTTACTATCTGTTACTCAACACCACCCTCTTTCTCCCCCCAAACCTATAATCCCTCTGCTCTCAGACATTACCACGGCATCCAACCATGGCTGAAGAAACGAGGTTGTGTGGCAGCTGCAACAAAGAGAGGTCGAAGGATACATTTCGGGCGCCTGAAGCTGCAGGGAAGGAGTTCTATAAAATGTGTGAGCCTTGCCGCATAAAGTATCGAAATGTGCGTATATCACATGCCCAGATGGGCAAAAAAACCTGGCTTATTAGGTCCAGACTAAAAACACACAGAAATCGCGAGTTAAAAGGTCCCAAGCAAACAGGGGACGAGATTGGCCGTACTATCTCTCCAAGCCAGCACCCCAAACTAACATCGGCCTCAACAACTCGGAGACGGGAGTCACCTCCGCAATCACTAGTGCTGCGCCAATAACCACCATGCCTGAGCAACAGAAATGTACACACGTGGATTCCGGCCACCACAGTCGAGTCACAGTTGCACCGCCCGTTGTGGAAAGTTCTGCGCAAAGCACAACAACAACCACTGTCGTCACCATTTCAACCACCACCGTCTCCAAGGGTATGACAGAAACTCCGACCAAAGCAGCGAAAGACGCAAAGACTGCACAAGACAGCATCCAACAGGTCAAGGATGAAGACCTAGAGTCTCTTTCAAGTGGACCCGAATCTGCGCAGCAAAGCGAAAGCGGCGCGGCTACGAACCATCGCCCTGAATTATTTGGTTGTCTACATTGTGAGAAACTGCGCCCATGGCCAATGGCAGGACTTCATATCTGTTTGTTATGCATTCGGGACTGGAAGTGGTGTGCGAAAGGTGCTCACAATCAAGCCAAGGCGAACTTCTTGTGGGATGATGAGGAGCATGATGAATGTTACATGTGTTATTTTGCGGGCATCTAATGCTTTTTGCCCAGCATGGAGACTGCAGGATTTGTATCTCCACGTGAAGCACCTATACCTAACGTGTATGGCAGCTTTCATTCCTGATTTTCTTTTTCTCCATGGAGTATGTTGGTATTAGTTTATACACGATTTTGGTAGGTTGAAAGAGTGACTAGAGATTGACTCCTGACAGATCAAATAAGGACAAATTGACAGGAATATACATTTCATCTCTTTCGGGGCGTCTTTTTTGACGTCTTTCAGGGTATAAGCTGACCATACAAAAAAGACATACTCGAGAACTAGCTAGCAGATAGGTAAAAAAACGGGCATTTAGTGAGTCTTTCAATATATTTTTGAACATATCAAATACTGTGTTCCATATATTGAGATTTTGAATGAAAGTACGGAGTAGAAGAGGCCTGAAGGAGTTGGCCGATCCAAGATGAGGTCGCTGCACGTGACACTTATCAAATCCAAGGGGTCAAGGAGGTAAGTTTTACCCATTTGCATCTACAGTGCATTTGCTCTGCACAATTTCTAATCTTGAGCCCGCAGTTTATCCATTTTCATAGCCTTCATCCCTGATTCTTCAATCCATGGAAGTGTCCTCCAGAGCAATGTCCAATCAAAACCACTCAATTCAGGCCCAGTCGGAATGGCGGAGTCACTCCACCTGCTCACCTCCACGCACCTATTACAAACCTCCGAGGCGTCAACTAATGTCGAACTAACCAGTGCCAATGCCATCCGAGAGCAAGAGGGCCCACCCCTCAAGCAAGCAGATCTCGGACTCCCACGTCGGAAATCTGGCTCGCCTAAATCCTGCCGTGTCGTTGGCTCAGGATGAGACACGCTTCCCTTCTTCCCCTTTCTGAGCTTCCTTCGCCGCGCCATGGTCGGTGGTACGCAACTATTTGTCCCGGACTCACGAGTCAGGAGGGATCCGAGCCGTCAGTCGCGGTCCTGTAAAGTCTGCCGGCTCCGGAAAGTCAAGGTCCGTTACCCCCGTCATCGTGCTCAGATCGCCCTTGGGGGTCGGAACGCTCCCGTACCCATCTGATGTGTCCCACTGGTAACGCATCACCCGCAAGACTAACGTGGATCCCGCTGTCAGTGTGACCGAGTCAAGCCTTGCCATGCCTGCTGTGCTCATGGCTACCCCTCCAAATGCGTGTATGAGCACGTCCCCGACGAAGAAGCCCGACCCATTAGTCAGGCGGAGGAGATTCGGAACTTGCGGGCGGAGATCCGTGACCTTCGGGGAAGAATAGACGATAAACAGGATGGTACGTTTGCAGGCCCCGCCCACTCTTTTTAATAGCGTGTGCCAAACACCCGTGGATGTGGAACAATCGCTGACGTCTGTGCAGGATCTGGTGCCCAGGATCTTCAGCGCCTAGACAAACTTGAGAGCTTATTTGAGTCTATTCGCTCTGCTCCAAGCCCGTTAGTCGATGATCTTGTTCGCGACATTCGGACGGCACATGTCGGCCTTAAGAAGGATTTGGTGCCTATTGGACCATGGGAAGGAAGGGAAGGTATGTGGTATAACGATTGCATAGATTGGACAAAAAAGTTACCCTTGCTGACAGTCCCAGCGTATGAATTCTACGATTATCCTTCGCGCCCTTCGTCAACTCTGCCGGCTCGGAGTCGCCTGTTAATAAATTCCCCGGTTGAAGACTTCAATAATTTCCAAGGTGACGATGACGATGACAGCGACTTCGAGCGCATGTCGCTGAGCAGTGGGTCCGACTCGTCTGGCACGATCTCGGTTATGAGCATGCAAAGACCCGCGGTGGATGTGTTTGTCGAGAGATTTGTGGATGCATTTAGCCCAGAAGTGGATATGAAATCCGGAAGAGCAGGTGCATTGCGAGCTGCTGCCGGGATTCGAATGTTCTCACCACTTATCACAGATGCGTTCGAGGCCGTCTCGGTAGCATTCTTTGGTCGTTCTGTGCAGAACAAACAGATCGAGGCATCCGGGTTTCGACTTTACCCTCGCGTGCTACGTGAATTGCAGGATGCGTTGGTGGACCCCGAAAAATGCAAAGCAGAATCAACACTGGTGACCGTGATTCTCTTGCTGGCTTTCGAGGTTAGTTTCATAAATAAATCTTGCTCTTTTGCCAATACTAACTCCAGCAGAGTGTTGAACGCACTACTCAGAGTGGTGTCTCAGCTCACGTACGAGGCGCAGTGCGCTTGATTGAACATCGTGACCAGAAAACCACATGTATGGAGTAGAACACCTTTTATTTACAGAACTCCGTCCATATTGGGTAAGATCGCAGCCCTTCCGTAATTGCCACTTCTCGATCTAACAGCTTAGATTGGCGCCGCTCTGGCAGCTCGACAACCTTCATTCCTGGCCCGTGAAGAGTGGAAAACCATTCCGTGGTCAGCAGGAACAACCCAAAAAGATATTCTTCATCATCTGCTTGACCTGGCCACCTCGGTACCAGGCTTACTAGCGGCATCTGATGCCTTCAAAGAAGCAAAAGTCACGTCTCTCATGGGCACACAAGAGATGGCTGTCAAACAGTCTACACTTTGGAACGGAATAGGCGAGCTTACAAACCGCTTCTATCAATGGTACGAAGACTGGGTTGTCGCATACCCTGACGGGCCACCACAGGAAGCCGAACAACACGGCGACCAGGGGTTCCCAATTTTCCAACGCCGCGACCTCCGCACTGGGGCTACTTTTACTCCAACAAGATTCACTTATCCAAACCTGCTACTCGCACAAACCATGTGTGTCTACTACGCTGTACGGTTGGTCCTGTCCTCGATTGACACTAGGCCAGAGGATCGCGTCTCGCCCCTGGAACAGTACGACCTGGGCTGCGGGATCTGCCGCTCGTTGGAATTTTATATCCTCACTGCGCCGGGGAACATGATTAATCGTCTTGCGTTCCCCACCCGAGTAGCCTGGGAAGCATTCCCAGACGGAGGGCCAGAGCGCCAGTTTATGGTTGAGGTACTGCAGCTAGTTGAGAGGCGACATGCTCTTGGGCTTTGGGGAAGTTCCATGCCAGAGTTATCTACAAAAGAATCATCGCCCCTGAACACGGGTAGTCCGTAGTGAGGACGCAAGTACCCTATCTAAACTGAAGTTCCGTGGCCACGATTTAATCATTTTATCTTAGGGTTCTGCAATCCAACTATTTGGACGCAATAAGTTTTGTGCGGGTGTGCAGCTGTCATTCAAATGAACATGATGCCCACATGGGCTTATATGGATATTGTTCAGCAAGGTCTCATAATGTACGGAGTATTGTTGTTCAGCTTCCAATAGTGTAGAGGCTATGCACCGCGGCTTTCCGGCTATATTGCCCGAATAATACAATGCCCAAGCATCAAACCAAACTATAATAATATTATGAATGCGAGCTGAAATGATGAGTCCCAAATTAATATACTATCCCACTTCTTATTGGATGTTCCCGATCAAACTAGATCGCATTCGACCTGGCTCCGCTAGGGATCGCCAGTACCAACCACTCACAGGTCGACTTGATCGATCAACAATCGATAGTTCGATGGAGATGGGAAAAAAAAAAAATAGGAGATGCGGGAACCTGCAGAATCCTTCATAAATAGCATGGGGCCCCATGTTACGAATAACACATCTATCATACAAAATGCCTTCCTTCACCAAGTTGGCGCTTTCTGTCCTCGCGGCTACCTCTGCCGCTGCAATCGGAATCAATGATTTCTCCTGCAAGAGCTCCTACAACCCAGTCGTGCTCCTGCATGGTCTTGGCGCGACATATTATGAGGACCTGAACTACATGCAGTACTGGCTGCAGACCCAAGGTTTCTGCACATATGCCAGAACCTATGGTGCATACGATGGCTTCCCATTGCTTGGCGGCTTGAAGGCCATCAACGAGAGCGCCCCTGAAATTGCTGCGTACATCAAAGAAGTCGTGGAAAAGACCGGCAAGAGCAAAGTCGACCTTGTCGGCCACTCCGAGGGTGCTTTCCAATCTCTATATGTGCCCAAGTTTGAGGGCGTCGCCCATCTGATCGACAAGATCGCATCCATCGCCCCGCCTACCCATGCCACTACATTCGCCGGCATCTACGACCTCGCATACAAGTTCGGCAACCAGTCGCGCGAAGTCGTGGGTGATGTGCTTGATACCCTCGGCTGTCCTGCTTGCAACGATCTCGGCCCCGATGGCCCAGCTATCAAGCGCTTGAATGACGGTACCCCTATCGCGCAGCCCGGCAACAGTATCACTATCATTGCGTCCAAGTATGATGAGCTGGTTACTCCCCCGTCGACATCGTTCGTCCACGAGGAAGGCGTGACAAATCGCTGGATTCAGGATACCTGCCCGTTAGATCCCGTTGGTCACATTGGCGAGGCCTATGATTTGAATGTCTGGCACTTGGTTAAAAATGTGTTGACCTCGACCCCGGATAAGAAGTTTTTGTGTCTGCTTGGGTCACCGGGTAAATAAAGAGCTTAAGGTTGCCTGACGTGATTTATTTTACTGTATATAATAACTAATCATTGAGTGTATAATCCATGGATATCTTATTCCCTCATTGTTCGGTTTAGTAGTAGGGGCACAAGTACAGATACAGGCGGTATGAATTAAAATTATGCAGTGCTTGTTTTAAGAGGTTTGCTCTTTTTTTAAAATGCTATTGGATATATCCCTCCAATGGCTTTTTCGGGGATAACATTCTAGAGAAATATAAGAAAGAGACAAAAACAAAAGGAAGTTGGTATAAGTTGGTATGATCAAATGGTGATCCTTCTGCTCTTTGTTCATCCTGACTAACCTTTTGATATAAATCCTCGAGGTGTACCCCGTACCTTTGAAGAATTTCAACTCTCTCTCTCTCCACTTTAGCACTATCAATTTGCCTAGGCGAAGTAGACTATATCTATTAACTGCTTATCCCTTAAATTTGGGAATATTATGACTTTCATGATAAAGTGATAGATCACGTATCCTGTGTTTGCCTATAGATTGGGAAACACCTACTCCGTATCTAGGACTGAGTGAGACACTAAGAGCAAGTAGCCTTTTGCGACCACTCTCATCTTAACCACCACTCCCAAGATCTCTCGAGAATTCAGAACCCTCTCTAAACCACTTCAAACTGCCAATCATCACATCTGACATAGCTCATCTGCTCTGAAACAGTTGTTGCCTTAGGCACACCTGATTTTCTTCACGGATCGGAACTTTCTTTCTCCGCACATTATCTTATCTGAGACGCGCAAGGATTAAAAAAATCACCATGTCAGAGCCAGACAACAAACCTGGCTCTGAATCCAACATACATCGAATCCAAGAGCGATGGGACAGTCTGAATGAGATGTTCCAAAACACCGACCCCGAGCCTACAGAGCCTGTCGGCTCTGCCGATGACCTGGAGGCGGAAATTCGTCAAGCTCAGGCTCAATTGTCCAGACTGAAGAAGCAGCGTGAGCTCATTGATATCAAACAAAAGGTTGCAGAGGAGGAGAGAGAATTGGAACTGGCTCGCACTCGACTATTGGCTGTGACCCAACTGGAACTTCCCCCGGTTACCCCTGCTTCAACTCCGTCCAGGACCGAGCCGAAGCAGAATAGCAAGGCTGGTATTGATGGAGCCCAAAAGAAGACTGTTGCTGCCCGATCTGAGCAGATTACCGCTCCAGCATCTCTGACCCAAGCTGCTGATCGTCGCCCTTCCGAGGCTAAGCCAACCGAACCCAACCCTTCACCTAAACGCGCAAACAACCTCGTGTCCGGTTTGAACCTCGAGCAATTGCGAGCTCTTGCAGCAGCTACCAGGTCCCCCGCCGCACAAACAGTTGTCAAGACTGAATCCCGTTCCAGTCTGCAACCTTCCGCCCGATCTTTTCATCCCGAAACATCCGTCCATGCCCCACCGGTGCCCAATGTGCCGGTATACAACGGACGAGCTCTGGGAGAGTTCAAGAACTTCTCTATGGGTCTAGAGCGACACTTCGATAAATATCCGGAGTGGTACAAGATCGATGAGCGCAAGGTCACGCGGGCGCTTAAGCACGCTGCCCTTAATATCGAGGATGAGTGGAAGCGACACATACGTCACCTACCCGCCGAAAAGGTCACCTACGCCAGTTTCTGTACCTTCCTTATTCACCAGCTCCAGAACGGAGTCTATCCGGATGTCGCCCGGTCGCGCTATATGGATAGCTATCAGCGACCGGCTCAATCGGTGACTGATTTCTCCAACTGGATGCAGCAGTGGGTGCCACATTTCCCGAATAACGACTCGGAGCGTGACCGCATGCGCCATCTCTTTGAGCATCTGATGAACAGGGTTCGCAACGAGGCTGATAAGACTCATCTGGACTTCGATAACTATTACGATTTTGTCGAATATCTCCAGCGGGTCGAGGATTCCATTGGTAGCCGCGCCGAATCTCTTGGTCGCCGGGTTATCAACCCTCGAAAGCGACCTCGCAGCGACTAAAGCGGTTCGACCTAGTTGAGAGAGCTCCGCTTTGAGACGAATCTCCGACGAAGCTGACATCCATCTTTATTTACATCTGCACACGGGGATAAATCGGAGGGTGGGTTTCTTGCTATTCAATCGGGAATTTTCCGTGCAAACTTCTTGATTTTTCCGTGTACATACCAGGGCGTTGCGAAATATTCAGAGCAAGGTATTCGTAAGGACTTTCCTCATTTCATTTTTTTTCAAATTCATTTTTTTTTTTTTTTTTTTTCCCTTTTGTGGACTATCTCTTCGATATCAATCGTGATCAATACGATCTTTCTCATGTATTTCAACCCTAGATCTTCTAAAGCATACTCTGAATGCCAACAGCCGGGTTCCTGGCCAAAGCCTCCTCAAGCTGCTCCTTGCTCGCATTGATACTACGCTCCTCCCGGCTATTTTCGACACCAAACCTCTCCCCTGAATTCGGCTCGTCCCCCCAGAGAGCCTTGTATTCCTCCTTGGTAAAATACAACGCCTGCCGCTCATGAAAATAAGTTAAGATAGTGGCGTCGGGCTCACCGCTACAGCAGGCTCAGTAACCGTCATTCTCGTTGGGGGCGGGAGGTGCCACGGACCCATCAGCGAGTCTCTTATTCAGCAGCGTGTAGCTGGTGCCGTAGATTTTGTAGATCATCGTCCATGGAGGTGTTAACGAGGCGCACTTCGAGGGGCGCATGGTCATCATAGCATTGCGATCCGAGCTTTAGCCAGAGGCTGCGCCGATGTTGTTGAGATTGCCGATTCCTTCAAAGTCGGGGTGTATGAATTTAGAGAAGCTTGAGGATAGGAGGCTTGTTCTGCCTTTTATATCTATGAGGCTCTTCTTTGTTTGATTTTTCCTGATGCCACGTACTCTGTACTCCCGTCGAATCAAGTCCGTTTGCTGTAGTTAGGGATTGAAGCTGAGTGACTATGTCAATGACCTGCGGCAGCTGCCTGGTGTTCCCTCACGGATGAAGGTTCTCCGCATATCTGCCTTGCGATACTGTGTATGAAGTACATCAAACCTTGACAGCTTCAGAGTCCCATATGTGTATTCTCTGTGACAGTCGAGTTTTCAATACTTGTCTCAGGTTGCTTGACAATTTGATTGGAGGACTGACCTCCGGCACAGCCCGAAATATGTTTGGCTACCGGACCCTGGAGATATGCAGGTGCACTGACCCATGAGCTTTCTCCTATTGCTCAGCACTTATCTTTTTGATCTGAACGAATCGAATGATATTCAATTGAAGAGAGATCAACTCCCAATAGGATGCAAGGTATATGGGATGATCAGGGTGTTTATAGTTCAAAGGGGGAAAATCCCCCACTTGGCGGGACCAGCGGGATTGGAGAAGCCCATTGACTCTTATCTGATTTCTGATTTTCTCTTATATTCCTAGCCTCCGGGCTTTGGGGCTTCACAACTGTTTGGAAAATTTGCTCTTGTTGTGTGGGATTTGGGCTCTGGTCTATTTGTGTTTTGTTTTAGTCGCGTTATGGACGTGAAATCCGCGCCTTTACCGCCTTGCCAGGTACGGGTACCCCAGGCACGCCAGGCACGCCAGGCACGCCAGGCACACAAGGCACACAAGGCACCTCATCGATATGCTCGTTGGGGATTGCCCCTGGCTGTTGCCGTGTTGATTCTTTTAGTTTGGCCTGTCCCACTACCCTCATGGAAGGCAGTCGAGCCTTTGGACATTCCAGTCACCTGGGAGGAAATCGTTCCTTCGCAATCTCTGGAGTACCATAATTGTGGCGATGACTTCCAATGTGCGAGATTAGAAGTACCTATGGACTACCAGCGGACAGATGGGACGGGTCGCACGTTTGCCCTGGCTATTACCCGACTGCCGGCCAAAGTCCCAGTCACAAATCCGCGGTATGGAGGTGCGGTGCTGATCAATCCCGGTAAGTAAATTTAGACTTGATATGATGATCTGCGCTCATAGCTCAGGTGGACCTGGTGGACCCGGGACAATGCAAGCGTTCCTGGCGGGTCGAAATCTCCAGCTGATCATTGATGCGGAGGCCGATCCAAACGAGACCGGTGAAGAAACTGGGAACAAATATTTTGATATTATCGGATTCGATCCTCGTGGAGTAGGATCCACAACGCCTCCAGTGATGTGTTTCCCTGATCCCGTATCCCAAAGGAATTGGGAGTTGCAAGTCTCCGCAGAAGGCATGCTAGGAAGTGGACCGGATTCCTTGCAGAGAAACTGGCAGCGGACGCACGCGCTGAACTCAGGCTGTTCAGTATTCGACATGTCGAGTCTAGGAGCAGATGAGCCAATGATGTCATATGTCAATACACCACTTGTCGCGCAGGACATGCTGACCATCATCGAACGCCATGGAGAATGGCGTGAGAAAGAAGGCCAAAGAGCCCAAACAGCCCACAACGAGTGCCATGGACTGAATGAAGCTGACGAGATCATGAAGCGCACTAAATGGCACCGCGGAGAAGAGCCACTTCTCTATTGGGGTCGCTCATACGGCACCTTGCTTGGCACCACCTTTGCTTCACTCTTCCCAGAGCGAGTCACACGAGCTGTTCTCGATGGCGTAGTAGACATGGTGAAGTACTACCAAGGAACAGGACCGAACGTTGTTGCTGATGCAGATGCCATCTTCGATCGATTTCCCCGGTACTGTAATGAGGCTGGACCCGTGGGATGTCCCTTCTATGTGGAGGGTGGTCCAGACGCCATCAGGGAAGCCTATTGGCAACTTGAGCGACAGATTCTCAACACCTCAATCCCTGTTATGGCATCTGCGGAGCGGGGACCAGAAGTTGTAACTTGGACAGATATCAAAGCGATTCAGCGTGTTGCCATCTACCAGCCCCTCCTTGCATTCCCGATCCTGGCAGATAGAATGACCGAACTGGGCAAGGGAAATGCAGCCCCCATGGCTGACTTCAAGCATGGAAGCCACTTCGGTGCATGTCCGTCCAACAAATGCAGTCTCGCTGGACCTTGGTCACCAGAATGTGCTACCTCGCAGGATAACATGCTCTACGCTATGGCAGCTATTCTATGCTCGGATGCCGAATATTTGACAACTCTGAGTATTGAACAGTTCCAGGCAGAATGGTCTAGCCTTCTGGCTGATAGTGCATCTCTGGGTGATTATTGGGCGCAATTGCAATTGAGCTGTGTTGGATGGAAAGCCAAGGCTAAGTACCCATTCACGGGTATGTACCTTGATGACCTCTATGCGATGCGTTCGCAACTGACCTGTTTTAGGGCCGTGGGGCGCTGTTACTGCTCATCCCATGCTCTTCGTATCAAATACCCTGGATCCAGTAACTTCTCTCCACAGGTGTGTATTCGCTCGTCGCCAGTAGCTTTCCAGGCTAACCGCCCTAGTGCCCAACACATGTCCCAGATTTTCCCAGGATCTAGATTGCTCCAGCAAGAATCAGAAGGAGTGAGTTACTCGCGGTAATACATCTAGTCGTTCATCCCTCACATATTTCATCTAGCACACCACACTCACAGCCCCCTCAATATGCGTGGCGAAGGCCATTCGCCATTACTTCCAAACTGGTACACTACCAGTGGTAGGAACCCTGTGCCAAGCTGATTTGAAGCCATTGGTTGGATCTCCGCATCATCACGAAGCGATCACCCAGAGCTTCAACCCATCCGACCGTAAACTATTTGATGCATTGATGGCGGAGGTTCACCGATCGCCTCTGTTTCCGCTATAAATATTCAAAAACTAGATTCTAGGACGACTGGAGGAAGATGTAACACCAAGGGTCTATCTAGCCCTGGAACTAACTATCACGAGTTGATGCAGTAATGATTGAAAGTGCTATGCCAAAGTCCAGCGATTTGATTTCAGTGTGTTTTCAGTCTTATATTAGTTACTCTCTTTCCCCCTCCCTCCCAATATTATTCAGGATGTATTTAATCTACCTCAACCATTAATATCACTGTATCACTGTATCACCCCGAGCAATGCGATGATATCCGCTTGCGGAGAACATTGCCCAACCTCGGCTCACCGGCCAATCCAACATCTTCGATAATCAGCAACCCCGCTCCTGCGGGGTTACTCCGCATTAAGAGCCATTTGATGAGTTTTGAAGAAGTTCACGTATAATCCCTGTCTCGCCAATCCTCAATACAGACAAACAACAATGGCTCCTCCAACTGCTACCGAGACCCTCGCGAACACTATCAGCATGCAAGCAGCACAGTCATCTCAAGCGGCGGGAGCCGAAAAAGCCAAGGTCAAAATGCAGATGCCCAGTATGCCTGTGTTTGAGGATAAGATGAAGGAACGGGAGTATTTAAAAGGCCGTCTCGCAGCAGCATTCAGAATCTTTGGCGATAAAGGATACGACGAAGGTACGGATGGTCCTACATCGAAATATCGAGTTAACAGTTAAAAATCCCATTAGGTGTCGCTGGGCACATCACTTTGCGCGATCCGGTGGATCCGACAACATTCTGGGTGAATCCCTTCGGCACGGCCTTCAAGCTGATGAAGGCATCAGACTTAATCCAAGTCGACCACCATGGCAAGGTCATCGCGGGTGGAGAGAACCGATTGCTGAATGCCGCTGCATTTATGATTCATTCCGCTATCCATGAAGCACGGCCCGAGGTGAATTGCGCTGCACACAGTCATAGTATCTATGGACGGGCGTTTTGCTCGCTGGGCCGACCGCTCGATATCATCTCGCAAGATGCCTGTGCTTTCCACAACGTACGTTCTTTTCAGTAGACCCGCGTGCGAAGCCCCCGCGCTAACAACATCAGGACTTGGCTCTCTATTCATCATTCAAAGGCGTCGTGCTAGCGGAAGAAGAAGGCCAGAACATTGCCAAAGCTCTAGGTAACAAAAAGGCAGCCCTCTTGCAGAACCATGGCCTCTTGACAGTCGGCAACACAATTGAAGAAACAGTGTTTTGGTTCGTGAGCTTGGAAAAATGCTGCTACGCTCAACTCCTAGCGGACGCGGCAGCCACCGGACGAGGCGGCCAAACAGTAAAGATCGAAGAAGCCGATGCCGCATTCACTTACAAAACAGTGGGAACACCGATGGCCGGCTGGTTCAGTGCGAAGCCCCTATTTGATGTGATTCACGCCGAAAGTAAGGGTGAATACTTGGAATGAAATATCCACCTGTCCAAAGTTAATTTATCCGTATTTGGGAAATGTTGCCGCAGATGTGAATGAAACAGCTTTATGCTTCTTTATCCCCCACTACCCCATAGAGTCTTCTCATATATTATATATTGGCAGGGTGTTGCAGTCTAACTCAATTACTGGCTAGTCTCACTGCCGGCAGCACAAAATAGACCTTGTCAGGGAAAAAGAATCTCCACATGTGGGGCTTCGGACTTGACTGGGGTTATCCAACACAAATTAAAGCATCAATGAGAAGGTCTCATTCAATGGCGTTGTCCACTTTCACTACGGAGGAGTCGACCTAGTCGGCCTAGTGTTGGGCTTGTTTTAAGGTGAGACATACAGCCCTGAAGAGCTTCGGGATGTACTCCGCTTTTAGTTACTTCCATGACTCCACCAGCATAGAAAGCCGGAGTCTTGCCGAAGGGTACTATAAATTCAGGGATTGTTCACGTCAATGTGAATTCAAACCGATCAACCTTTCTCGATCATCATTATCACAATGCGCTTCATCGTACCTTTCCTTGCTGCCGCTGGCCTTGCCAGCGCAGGTCTGCTCGAGACTGTTGTCAAGAGAGATGACTACTGGGGTGGTAGTGTCTCCCTGGGTCCCTCCAAGTCGACTATCATCAACGCCGTTACGACCCTGATCCCCGGACCTGCCCCACCGACTCAGAACGGTGTGCTGTTCCTCTGGCCTGGTGTAAGTCCTCGATTCTTCTGAGTGGTCGTCATGTCACTAACAACCATAGATGTCCAACGGAACTGGTGACCTGGTCCAGACTACCCTGGAAAGCTGGTCTAGCAACGCATGGTGCGGAGCCACCACCGGGCAGTGGTGTGTGCGTGCCAGTGTCTTTGGCAGCTTTGGCCAGCTCGATGGCACTGGTTCGCCCGTGAGCGGAACCGACGAGGTGCGGATTGAGTACGACCTTGAGTCCGATGGACAGACCTGGACCCAGTAAGTGTGAATCCAAAATGGCTAGATACATCGCAACTAACATTTGCAGGACTGTCACAAATGGCCAGACTGGTGCCGTCCTTTCAACTTACTCCCACGAATCCGGACCCTACATGCGCGGGTAAGTCAATCGCCAGAATGGTATCTCGAGGACTATACTGACATTATTTAGATACGGTACGGGAACTGAGTGCGATGACAACTGCTCCGGAACTATCGCTGCGCAGAAGTACTTGAACACTGTTATCACTCTCGCCTCGGCTGATACCACCTTTGGCTCGACTATTGCTAGCGCCGGCGGTGCTACTTACACCAAGGTTACTTCCAGCCAGGGTGGAAAGGTGTGGACTATCAAGGAGATTGACATTCCCTCCATGCACTAATCTCGAGAAATTTGTGTTTGAGCGATTGCATTGCGAGCATAGGTTACCAACATATTTTCGTTCTATAAGATTTATATAGGAAGGATAGCCTAGGAAAAACCATCAATTGTTCAACAAAAATCGCTTTAATAATAGCCACCCCATTGCAAAATGCATGCGTATATACAAAAATTCATTTTCACCCCCGATAATCAAGCACCACTTTCAGCCGCACTGGACCAGGGGACGCCGCACCACCAATACCATCCAGGTGTTTCTTCGACTTGACATAAGCATCAACCACTTTCTTAGCGTCAGGCGTAATAATGGAGCACCCCTTCCCATCAGCCTGGCAGATAGACATCCCCTGCACAGGCTGATTCGCAATCTGCGCCTGAATAGCCGAAACATCCCATCCGGACCAACCCTTATTCTCCCCATCACCAAACCCAAACTCGCCCCACGTGCACGAGTATCCACCCCATTGATCCGTAGGTAAGTGATCACCAGGCGCAGCGCCCCAAGCCCCCTCAGAGTCCTCGTCAAAGGCAACATATTGAGTTTCACCGGGCGCAAGAGTGAATGTCAGAGCAGAGTGACCGTACCACCCAGTCAGCTTGCCGTCAGGCCCGATCTTGTTCCACACAATCACTGTCCATGGCTCATCGTTTGACCCCGTGAACTGCGCTACGTATTTGTAGTTAGATGCCTCGGTCGGACTGACAGTGATGATGTTGCTTCCCCAAGGCTTGCCGACATTACCCTGATACTGAATCTCCGTGCCTTTCCCTTTTGGCGGAGTACGTCCTCCGAATTTGTTTGTTGAGAATTGTCCTTTCGATGGTGTTGCGGTCCAGTCCGCCGAGGTGGGCCCGTCTGGCTTTGGGCCTGGGAGGATCTGGTTGACTACTGGAATATCAGGGAGGACTCCGCTGGGCAGATTGAGTACGGCGTTGATGGGTCCGCCGTTGTTTGAGTGGGGAGGCGGCGGAGGTGGACGTTTCGCTGGGACGGCCTTCTGTTCTTCTAATGAGCCCTTTGGCAGCGTGTCTGCAAGCACCGCAGCTTTTTCTGCTGATGAGGGATTCCCGGGGAGTCTGTTTGAAAGTGGCACATGGCTGCCTCCTGGGTAAACAGTGACCTTTACGGTATTTGTTGCGGTTTTGGTGATTGTGTGTGTCTTGAACATAGTCGTAATGGCCTCTGCCTCCGTTGGCCTGGGAGCTGGGTGCTTGGTCTGATTGAACTGAGGTTGCGCGGGCATTGTGTTTGTCGGCACAGGGAGAATAAGCTCAGGCTGCAGTTCACGTTGGTGCCAATGGTCCTCATATGCCTCGGGGTACGCGAGGCCGTGCATGGGATGATCTTTCGTATAAGACGTAGGCTCAGGCCTATGTCTGACAAGTGTAAGCGTGGAGTGGATAGTGCTGGTTGGCGCGCAGTTTCCATAAACGGTAGTCGTGGTTGTGAGGGTAATAGATTCCACCACAACATCATCCGGGGTGTTATTCACATGATCCCAGACCATATTTCGCGGTTCCAAGTGTTCGATAGGCGGCATCAAGTGGCGATGGCGATGGCCATGGCCATGCGCCGGATGATGGATGCTAGCGAAGGCATACCCGATGAAGCCCGCAAGAAGGACGTGGATAGACACACGGCCCATTGCAAAGTATGAATGATTGTGATCGGCAAAAGCTCTGCAGCAGGTACTCAATAATTGACGTGATAAATCAAGACGTCAATGGGGTTATATTCCAAAAGAATAGGAGATGCGCTTAGTTGATCGAATCCATATCGATGGCGCGGTGTTGGCGGTTGGAGTTGTCGAGTAAACACGCGATCTGGGGGTGGGACTTAGCTTTATACTGCCATTTGAAAAAGGAAAAAGTCTGGCCTGTGTATCAGGAATGTCATCGCGCGCTTGGCCTTTGAAGGGCTCGAAGGGGACAGTAGCAGCCCTGAATTCCGGGGTTCCTTGGCTGACCCTTGGAAGGCCGTGAATCAGACTGCATTTCCAGCAATTCAATGAACATCAAGGTACTATGTATGATGACTTGAATATTTTATAGACAGCTTTTAGCAAAGTAAAGAAAATAGGAGTACCTCTTAGGGAAACAATGTTCAATGCGTCCACGTTGAGATGCAAGCCATGTAGATGTGGCTGATGAAGCCCCTCGCGTTGCATTCCGGCCCTGAATCAACATTCGTCCCTCTTTTTCCCCGCCTCAGACACGTCTTAAGGGGGGGTTTTATTATCAGGAAATAAATCGTTTTGTTTAAGTGGATTGATAGATGTTGGAATTGTGGATGTTTGTGAAGAGATTGAGTAGACAATATATATTTCAAGGAGTGTGTATGAAAAGAGTATTATGGGCTAATTCCTCCAACAAAATTCAGCAAAGCGCATGCAGACCAATCACAAAGACTAGAAAATACTATCGAGCGCGTGTTTTTGTATTTTTTTCGGTTTTCTTTCAACGCAAGACTTACAATGCCACTTCCAGTTCCCCTTCCGGAGAGACTATCATGCGCAGGAGCCCGAGACCTGGGTCTGTGGGGGTCCGACATCGACCAACTGGGTGCCAGTAACAGTAGTCACACTGTGGTCAATGCCATTGAATATGCAAGTAATGCCCTCAGTGCTGGTTTGAATGTGGGAAATGCTCAGAGGGTTCACTATAACAATTAGTATCTTTATTGTTTATAGTGGAATATATAGAGGGACATACCAATTTGAACCCATTCGCCATTGGACGGGAAACTCTGAGTAAACTGAGCATCGGCAGCTCCAATGAAAGTTACATGCACTTGATCCCCAGTAGGATCAGGATTGGTGGCAGGAGGTGCAGGGGATGAATCCGATCCCTGGACCTGGCAAGATCCAGTCACCTGGGTTTGTGGAGGGCCAACATCTACCAATTGGGCTCCGTTGACAATTGTCACGCTGTGATCAATGCCGTCAAAGGTACACTGCACCCCGGCAGTGTTGGATGAGATATGCGAGATGCTCAATGGGTTTTCTGAAGAAAGTTAGAATAGTTTCAGTCCAGATGTATGATATACCAAGGGACGTACCAATGGAGACAATAGATCCATCAGTGGGGATGCTTTGAGTGAATTGGGCGTCGGCAGCGCCAACGAAGGTGATCTCAACTTCCTGGTCCCTTTGTTTGACTGGAATCGCACTAGTAGTAGCTGCATAGGCAATAAAGAGACCGAGAACTGTAGAAGCCTTCATTTTCAGATGAAAGACGAGTAGAATATTGAGTTGTTGAGAGTGTAGTGAATTGTTGTACTGGTTGTTGTATCGATATAGATGATCAATGAGATACCGAAGCACTTTATATACCTTTTGCTTTACACTTCGTATAAATCTAAGACACGCTTACAGCATGATCACAACAATAGTTTCTAATATTAGATGGGCTATTATTTTCCATGGTAGATCAGATAGTGGCATTGGGGGTGTCTGCTATGTAGAGCATAGCCACTATTTTGATCAACGGAGAGAACCTTGGAATGAATGAGAAGACTTAGATAATGTTTTAGGTGACCCAAGGTTCCTGATTTTATTTCGTATAGGTATTAGAATGTAGTTAAAGCCAAGGTACAGAATATAAGAGTCCTTTTGCAAATTTCATCTTGGGGATATGGACGATGCTACGAATACCTGATAATTAACGCCCACCTGGGCAGGGTATGTTTGATTTACCTAACCTTTCTATATGTATGTAGTTAATTTGGGCTGTCCTGAACACCAGATATACCACACCTTCAATGCGTCATCGATCTTGTATCAAAGGCCTTGTGACTGCGGAACTTGCCGACCCCCGCCCCCAGATTTTTGGAAGCTCGTATTAACCTGATTGTGTCTCAGATCTATGATCACTTCAGATCATTTTATAGGTTCTTTCTTGGCTGTTTGGCAATTTCTTTCGCAATGAGATTTGAGTTGGGCGCCTCAATGACCCTCCTTAGCTAGTTTGCCGTTTCCTGTTCGGCACCTCGATACGCCACCCAATGTGCTATATATAACCTCTCCCCACATTTTCTAAACAAGGTTCTCCGGATCGAAACTTGGGGGTACCATCCAAGTCGATTCCTGGAAACGATGCCCAGCAATTATCGGATATCATTATACATAGATGAATCGAGAGACTCAAGACAGTGGCCGGCTAGGACACGTTAAAAATGAATGACTTACCATTGGGAATCAAATAATTTGTGTAATATTTGGGAAATTGATGAGAATGTCACCTTTCCCCGACCTAGAATAGCCGCCAGAAGAATTGTTCTTTACCGAGTTGTTGCATTATGCGACCACTTGCCACTAGTTCGCCCGTGCCATGTAAAGATCACTTCAATCGAAAAGAATCATTTGGCTCCAGCGCACTGTTGAAGCTCTGCAGTTTTTTCAATAAGCTTTATATAATCTCATCCACAACTTTTGTAACGAGAGTCCCCCATCCTTTCTCATTAATAATGTTTCATCTGTGAAACAACTGGGTCTCCCTAAGCGGACCCCGGAGGCTCGGGCTCCGACCTCCGACATCCAGGGTCGGCTCCCTCGGCACCCTTGACGTACTATAACCCAGACATTTGATGAGCTGTGCATGAATAAATATAGGTCAGCATGAGTAGTGTCAACGACGCATCTGTTTTATCCACCTCATCCAGTTTCAATTACATCTGCAACGAATGTGCGCGTTCCTTCCAACGACGCGAGCACCTCGACCGCCATCGCATATCTCACTCGAAGCAGAGGTCATTCCAATGTCAAACATGTAACAAAACCTTCACAAGAAGGTGAGGAAATTTATCAAAATTCTGGTCGCCTGTTGACTCAACTGCTAACCTCTCAGTGATACTTTACGACGACACACCACTCTTCATGGTCAAATCCCCAGCGGAGTTGAGAGCTTGCCAAGGGCTGTAAAAGCATGCAAGAACTGCATGCAGTCCAAGCAGCGATGTAGCGGAGGATTTCCTTGTGAGCGATGTTCTCGTCGGGGCTGGCGGTGCTTATTTCCAGAAGACCCGAAGAAAGCGGGGCTCCGGATGACAGCTTCTCCAATGGATGCATCGGGATTCCAACTCGGCCAGCCTAGTGATCACAGTGCAGCCGGGGTACAGCTTCGTTGTGAAATGAATGCCTCCACAGAGTCCATTTTGACTTCCCCGGTCCCGTTGATCGGCGCTGAGGGCAGAGGCCCAATCGAGCAACACGCAACTTCAGCTAACCCCTGGGAACCGGCGCCAATGATACGAGATGATTTGAGTTTTGGCTTTGATCCCATGCTTCTTTGGCCTTTGGCAGACTATGATCCTCATTATGCTGGGATGCCGGCCTTCCCGATGCAGCCATCGGTTGTGAATTCTTCTTTTGATCGGCCGCAAGAATCTAATCAAGAATTACTCGATGCTCCAAATGATTTGTCGGCAGCGGTTAAGTCTCGGAGTCAACACGCAAATTCCCATCGAAATCACCTAGAGCCGGAGGACAAACCTCAACCTGAGCTTTCAGAGGCTGACCTTGACATACTCGCATCCGAGGACTTCTGTCAAGTTCCCTCCATATCTTTGTCAACCTACGAACAAATATGGGAGATGTGTGACCGTATATCGCAATACTCCAGGCTTGAACTGCGCGGGCTCCTTCCGACCTTGGACATACTTAATGTATTTGTTCAATTGTACTTCGAAAAGTTTCACAAATCTTTCCCCATCCTCCATCAAGCTACCTTTGAAACAACGAGTGACTCCTTGTTATTATACATTGCCGTCGCTGCAATTGGCGGACAGTACTCACGCCTTTCTGTGCGAACAACGCACATTGCTGGCTTGATTCGAATTCTGCGACATGCATTATTGTCCAAGGTACGCCTTGTTCCCAAAGACTGGAATTGCAACTAATATCTCCAGGTCGGTTTGGGCGATTCACTCCTGGGCGATATCTCATTAGCTCAAACAATATTGCTTTTTACATTTTCGTTGATCTTTGGTGGCAGCCGAGATGACATCATACATGCTCAGTATCAACGCAACCTTTTGACCACGATTTTTCGTCCACTACTTGTTCCAGGAATTCTTTTCGAGAAAAATACGGACTCGAGGCCTGGTTCAATCGTTAGTGATTGGCCGCGATGGACTAAGGCCGAGTCTTGGAGACGAGCTTTCTACTTTCATTGGGGTGAGTGTGCCTGATACCCTGAATCCTGGTAGCGGAGGGTGCTAAATATAATATGGCGACGCAGTTTCTGAGTGTGTACAATACTTTCTTTTTGATATTCCCCCAGTAATGTCGGTGAGCGATTTGACTATCGATCTCCCTTGTGATGAGGATCTATGGGCGAGTGGAGATGAACAAGAGTGGAAACAGAAACTTGCTTCAAAATCAAGTAAGGAATTCACACTTCTAACCGGTCCATTTGATACTAATCTATTAATACCAGGCCCGAGACAGCTAGTGAAGCTTGTTGGACTGCTTTGCAACAAGGAACTCAAGAAAAACCAGCTGGAACCTCTGGGGCCTTCTGCTCTCTTTGTGGCAACCTGCACCACATATGTGGAAGAAAGAGCACTGATGAAACAATTCGGAGGCTATTCGTCTCATCCAATCTTCGAAGTCCAAACAGAAACTATCTTCAATCGCCTGAATAAACAGACCGACAATCTTTTGGACATTTTCCCACAAGTCTACAGCACCCAACATGCCATCTCGCCCATTGTCGGAAATACTGCGAAATTGGGTCATCTTTTCCAAATCATCCGCTTTATTCCATACCGAACTATATACTCATCTTGTGGTTGGTGGATGCGCAAACCCGAGGCAGATATGTTCACACGACAAATTTCCCGGAAACTAGAGGAAGAGCCCCAAAAAGCTCGCCAGACTCTGATCCATGCCGCTCAACTTCTGCATATCGTTCGAACCCAGCAACTACCGGAATGCTTTGACTCCTTTCTATTTCTCATAACATCGCTGTACATTTGGTTCTATGACCGGTTCGTGGTGGCTCGAAAAAGAGGCGAAGTAGCTGGCCCGACGCACCTCCATACTCTGCGAATTGATCGGGATAGTGGCCACATCAATTTAGAGAATTGGGTGAACGGAGGAGATGAAGAAGAGAAGCTTATCCACATATCCGGGATTGGGGTCCTTAATGGGGTAGTAAGTACCTCGCGCATTTTGAAAGAAGCTATCCATGTACTAGGCCATGATGGGCCCTGGTCTGTGCAATCAAATAACATCGCTCGATCACTACAAGGAATGCTTGCGGGAGGGTTGCCTTCATTCAATGATTGATTCATTTTCTTGACTCTTCCTTCATAGGGGCAACCTTTGGTTTATTTTGTTCATCTCGATACCCTCATGAAAGTCAATCGCAGAATGTCAACCTAGAAATGAATGATTGGATTTTTGAAATCCAAGGATAACGGCAAACTTTACCATAGATACAAATAATTATATATATACAAATAATTGTGCACCTTTTGACGATTCGGAGCATGAAAAATTAGAGTATCAATGGACATTCCTTTAGAAAATTCGTGTGTAAAGCTATTAGGAGAGAGGAGCCGACGGGGCCGACGGGGCCGACTGTGGAGTGTGGGGGAGAATGTCGGGCATGTCGGTCTTTTTCCACCGACAAGGCGATCTGACAAATAGATATCCACCAGAATTGGGATAAAGTATGAAATGAGAAGATTTGGTTCAGTTGTTCGGGGAAAGAATTGCACCGACGGTCTTAGGACGGATTTAAGGACTGGGGGTGTATATAAAACGCTGTTCCATACTAGGAGGGAGCATCGACACCACGATCTTGAATGACTTACACCGTTCAAATACAAAGCATGTATGTATAAATACTGAGCCTCTTACTGTGAGCTAAACTGACATCTTGTAGCAACCAATCAAAATGGCAGCTGTTGACTATGAATTGATTCGCAATGCGATCGCCCAGTACTCTCTCGCCATCGACCGAAAGGAATATCAAAATCTCGCGAAAGGCTTCACAACAGATGTGGTGATGAGGTTTCCAGAGCCAATTGGTGTACTCAACGGCCTACCAACTGTCATCTCCGCTATTGAACGCGCACTTGAAAACTTGACGACTCACCATGCGTTAACGACCCAGACCGTCAAGTTGACAGATGAGAAGACAGCTTTGGCAACGACGTATTGCATGGCTATGCATTTCGAAATCGAGAGTCAAGGAGAGCGGAGTGTGACTGGATGGGGATCATATGATGATAAGTTGGTGAAGGGGATCTACGATGGAAAGGAGGACTGGCGCATCGTGGAAAGGACTGTGTATTTCCATGTTCCCCACACTGGAGATACGTCACTACTCGGATTGAACTAGTTGGCATGAAATCTTTGTATTAATATATCATTGCTTCATGGAATCTCCAGTGATTACTTTCTTCCTTTGTATTGGTATTCTGGTGTTTAAACATGCCATTAGACGGTTTTACGTAGTCCAGGAAATGGGATATATACGGCCCTAGAAGCCCATCAGTTAACAAAAACGAGTGATACAATATCCTACAGAAGGATGATTGAAATGGGATTGGAAACGTTTGAAGTGGTTTCAAGTTTGAATGTTGGAAGGACGAAAACTTGGCGAAGTCTTATGACTCCTATCGCACAATAATAAATTTCAGATTCTAGCATCACGCTCAGTAAATAACAAGTAATATTTTGGTATTTATGGTTTAATTTCAGCAACAGTGAAGAGTTATCTGATTTAATAATGACCGAAGTACATGACATATTGAAACGGAAAGCCCTAAGAATTGACAATCTCCTTCTCAAACCAATCGAATAAGACCTGATTCGAATGTCTTCCAGCGCCAACATGGCAATGTTCTCCGGCAGCATCGTCCGCGGTGAAAACATGATAGTGTGCTCTATCCCCGAGAGCGTCCCTCATTGCCTCAGGCTGTCCCTTGAAAAAGTGATCATCTGCAGCACAAGCAACAAAGACTGGGCATTTGATCTTATCCGCTATTCCAACCAACGAGAACGTCTTCGATTTCTCAAGATATTCAGCCGGGGTTTTAACATTGAAAGCCCAGAGACCATGAGACAATGCCCAGCGGGCAGTGGTCGGAATGCTGGGGTTGTTGAACACAGCAGCAGCAGATTCAAAGTCTTTGAGATGAGCAAAAGATGCAAGACCATGAACCGGGTCAAAGACAGGCGTGTCGACAAAATTGTAAAGGCCGTCAATGCTGAAGACTGCAGCGATGCGCGGTTCAAATGCCGCAGCACGTGCTGCCAATAGACCAGACATGGAGATGCCCATGACACCAATCTTGGACATATCAACAGTGGGAATAGTCTCGAGGAAGTCCACAACGGGAGAAAGAACTTTCTCCCACTCATGGGTAAATCCGACGCCCTGGTAGCGACGGGAGCAAATCTGCCCTGGTCCATCGTAGCCGATCACATTCCAGCCACGCTCGAGGACGGCAGCACCGTGCAGGTGGTACATTTCCTCCATGGATCCATCATAACCGCTACCGATAATGAGAGTTGGCCGCTTCTCACTATCCTTGCTTGCGGGGAAAAAGATGGTTGAAATCTTGCACCCAGGTCCTGGTAGCTCCGTGCGATAACCAGGGAAGGGAAGTCGGGACAAAGCCTCGTCAAAGCAGAGAGTCTGCTTATCCCACAGAGGGATAATGCGTGGATCATCCCAGTTGCCGTGGATGTAGAAATCAGCAGCACGGTAGTAGGTGGCCGCTCGGAACATGGCGTCGCGGATAGAGATATCATTTGTCATGCTCTTTCTCTGCTCAAGGATATGGTCTGCTCTTTTGTTGAAGACGGCGGAGAAGGATTGGAAGTCGCCAGGTGTTGGCACCACCATAGCTGGAGTGAGCGAGAAGCCGGAGCAATTCGAAGTGGAAAGATTTGTCTGAGCTGAGGCGCGACATAATTGTAGAATAAATCAACTTATGTCTTGGAAATGAGACTGCACCACACGATAGGTTCGATGGGGCGGTTGTATTTATACATCATGCTATACCACCAGAGATACGAATGAGGCAAATCACTGCCTCTGCCAATAAAAGTCGGCGTCTATTCAACACCGATTCCGACAATGTCGGGGTCTAAAAGAGTGGATCCTGAAGAATCTCGTCCGGCTTTAGAGCTAGTAGTGATATTTGGGTTGGTGTAGTATTGCGGGGCCGACGGGGCCGACGGAGGCAAACTCGATGTGAATATGTCAGGGATCCTCTCTGCGATGCCACTTCGGGCCTCATAACGACCGAAGACGCGAGATGATTAAGAAACCGGCATTTCAATTAGAGAATTCAATAAGATATTCATGAAGCCAAGAGGCTTTGAAGAGCGAGAGTCCAGTCCCACTGCTTGCACAGGTCGTCTGCGGTTGATGTAAGGGGAATTAGGTGTGTGAGATATTCACACTAGATGGCCTTCGTAGCTACACGAGTTTGAATGGTTTTTCGTAAAGATGAATAAAAGGAGCCACCTCATGCGCTCTTTGGACATCATCCACCGGGTTATAAATGGGAGACTAGATTAGCTACCTGCCGAAAGTTCAAGTCTGGGGATATGCCCAATGAAAGTTATCAGATCGCTATCCTATCTTCCTCTCGGTTGTGCTCAGTTTTGCTCAATCGCCGCCATTCTTCGCGTTTTGCTGGGTATTGACATCTTATTCTATGGTGGTCTTAGAGCCCCCTCACATGTTTTACCGAGTGCCTGCCCAGGTGGGAATACTAGCTTAATAAGGAGGAAGCACATAATGAAAGTTGTGAGATCAAAACTGACCAGGACCGTGCATCGCGAGACTTAATAGCTACGTTTCCTATCCTCGGATTGAACTTCGTGATTTTTGTCCAAGTCGGTGCTCGAAACAGCCTCATATTCCAGGTGAAGGAATGGGCATTGAATGCTCACTGAAAGGGTTTGATGCAGTAGTGTTTGTATTCAATGGTCATTATATCTCACGGGAATTGATATTTGTATCCCCCTTTGGATATGTGCAGTGAAAGTCAACCTTGGAAGCAGAGAAGGCTAGAATTGGGGCCTGAATGACAAGGCCATAAGGCCACAAGGCCATGAAGCGATAAGGCGATAAGGCGATAACACTACCGCAGATTTTCTGACTGTAAATTCTTCACTACTGTATCTTCTTCTGGCCACGATGCTGTCGATAATGTAGAAGTTGGAGACCCTGCAGAGATCAACTTATTCTCCAAATCATCCCCAATCCACCCCGCAATACACCAATAATGAGATTTTGTCCAGCTTATCAAAGAATCCACATGCGCTAAACCCTTTAGAGGAAAAGATGCGCCGTGTGACCAACTGACCAATCAGATCGCCATAGAAGCGCGAAAGATTTACCCAAAAGGGAAATCAAGGGGAGGACCGGGGTTTGTGCGAATATAAATGCGTTGCCATACCCATCTTTGCAGAAACCATCCTCCCTTGAACATCATATCATCCATAATGGCGAGCCTTCACCCTTTTGACCCTATCACACCTGGGGAGATCCAATTGGCGGTCTCCGTTCTGGAATCCGCTTTCCCCGGTGCTAAGCTGCGTTACAAACGCATCGATCTTCAAGAACCTGCCAAGCATGAGGTTGTCCCATTCCTCGAAGCCGAGCGCCGTGGTGAAGTGCGCCCGCTCAAACCAGCACGCTTGCTGATGGCGCTCTTCCACCGATTGGATAATGGGTCTTTCTTCAAGGCTCTGATCAATGCAGACACCAAGTCCATTGTGTCAGCGAAAGAGCTGCCCAAGGACATACAGGGTCCATTAGATATGGATGAAATGATGGAAATTGAGGAGCTCTGTCTCAGCCATCCAGCTGTCAAGGCCGAAATTGAAAAGTTGAAGCTTCCGGCTGGCCACACCGTCTGCTTGGATCCGTGGATCTACGGGACCGAGGATGCCAAGGAAACTCGGCGTTTGTTCCAATGCTACATGTATATTGTGGCCACCGACCACCCCCAGCACAACCAGTATTCGTTGCCTTGCAAATTTTCCCCGGTGTTTGATGGTATCACTCGCAAACTGGTCCGCATGGATTATCTGCCTGGTGGAGCCGATACCCAAAGCACTGAGACGCAGCCCTGGAAGCCAGTGCCTGCTGTGCAATACGCACATGATTTGCTGGATGAGCCTCTGCGCACCGATCTGAAGCCCTACATTGTTCAGCAACCAGAGGGGGCGTCATTTAATGTCATCGGCAATGCCGTGTCATGGCAGAAGTGGCGTTTCAGAGTGGGCTTCAATAACCGAGAAGGTTTGGTGCTGCACAATGTGACCTACGATGGTCGCAACACCTTCTATCGTCTGTCGTTCTCTGAGATGACAGTCCCCTACGCTGGTATGTTCTACTACTCTTCGTTTGGCAACACATCTGATTTTTTCTAGATCCTCGTGCTCCCTACCACCGCAAGCAAGCCTTTGACGTCGGTGACGTGGGCTTCGGTATCACAGCTAACCAACTGAGCCTCGGCTGCGACTGTCTCGGCCACATCAAGTATTTCGATGGTTATCGCACAGATGCACAGGGAGCACCAATCCAACTACAGAATGTCATCTGCATGCACGAGCAGGATAATGGCTTACAACACAAACACACCAATTACCGCACCGGTGCGGCGACTGTTGTCCGTAATCGCCAGCTTGTGGTTCAGATGATCTGCACGGTTGCCAACTACGAATACATTTTCGCTTTTATTCTCGACCAAGCAGCCAATATTGAGCTCGAGGTGCGGGCAACCGGTATCCTCTCAACGGTACCATTCGAAAATGAGAATGGCCAAACTGTGCCATGGGGCACGAATGTCGGACCAGGCGTTATGGCCCCGTTCCACCAACACATGTTCTCGCTCCGTATCGACCCTGCCATCGACGGCTACAAAAACACAGTTTACTACGAGGACAGCGTCCCTATGCCCGAGGATGACAGCAACCCATGGCTAGTCGGGTACACCACAGAGGAAAAAGTTATCAAGTCTAGTGGCAGTGCCACAACCAGCGTCGACCGCCACCGCGTCTTTAAGATTCGGAATGACTCTATTATCAACCCCATCACCCACCACCCCATCGCATACAAGTTGCAAACCATGCCAAGTCAGATGCTCCTCGCACACCCGAACTCATTTGGCTCGAAGCGCGCCCGCTTCGCGACCCGTCCTATCTGGGTTACTAAATACCAAGACGACGAGCTCTTCGCCGCCGGTGAGTTCACAAACCAGAGCAAGAAGTCGGAAGGCGTGGAAGTATGGGCTGCACGCAACGACACAGTTGAAAATGAAGACGTTGTTCTGTGGCACAGTATGTTATCCCATCTAAACTCCCCTGCAATAGTAGCTAACTGTTTCCAGCATTCGGTCTCACGCACAACCCCCGCATTGAGGATTTCCCTGTTATGCCTATGGAGCGCGTCAGCGTGATGCTCAAGCCGGATGGTTTCTTTACTAAGAACCCGGCACTGGATGTGCCGGCTTCAAGCCAGTCTTTCAACCAGTCGACTTTGCACCCAGAGCCGGCGTGCTGCGCGGCTCCTCAGGAGCGAGCGCAGGTGAAGTTGTAGACATTACATGTGAAATGAGATGTGGAAGCCGAGCTCTGTAAATAGATTATCTGCCATAGAGGCAAATATAACGAAGTTATTTGAATCAAATGTACACTTTTCTGAAAATGGACGCCGCCGCTCCAAGCATCTATGTGCCAAGCAGTAGACTTTTGGAGATATCATAATGAACGCGAGGAGGCGTCAGCCGTAGTGGATTGTGATGCTGGTGCCCACGGTTCTCGAAAATATATTTTTTGGTTGGAAACACGAAATCCTTCAATGTTCATCGGTATCTCGCAAACCGAGCACTGGTGCCTTATGCTCCGTGTCAAGATGATGACCCTCAACAAATATCCCTGCTATCAGACCCACTGCTGCAAACGCAACATACTGCACATACTAGTCAGCATAGTGTTCTTTTTAATATGAAGTGAGGTTTACCATAATCCAGACCGTTCGCAAAGACTCGTGAATGGCCTGTCGTGCCACAAGCTTCTGATCCAGGGGGAGTGTATCGATGATCTCGATATTAGCCATTGCGCCTCCTGAAACCTGACTAGCTAGTTGTTCTCCGAGAGCGGAAACTAATTGAGATCCTTTTCTTGCTATCTGGTTCTGAAACACGACTGTCCCGATGATCACCGAGATCGCGGTGGACAGGGTCCGTATGAATCCAATGGTGGCAGTGGCGGTTGCTGCATTCTCCGCGCCCACGATTGCCTGGAGAGCCAACAATGGGCCCTCGAAATTCAAACCGATGCCGATGCCGGCAATAAGCTGAAAACCCATGATTTTACCCCAGTTGACGGTAACCTCTAGATTGATCAGCAAACCCACCCCTAGCGTCATAGTGACTAGTCCCAACCACATCGCTGAAACATAGACTCCTGTCTTTTGGATGAATAGTCCAGTAGATGCAGCTGAGACGGTGATAGATAAGACAAAGGGAAGGATGTACACCCCGGACATGATAGGGCTAGAGCCGAGGACTGCCTGGAAGTAGAGGGGGAGATAATAGGCTTCACCCATAAAGATGTAGCCATGGCAAAAGCAGACTAGGAAGGAAGCGACACCAGAGCGATGATTGAATAGGACTAGAGGAATGACGGGATACTTGACCATTTTCCATTCGTTGACAACGAACAGACCCAGAAGTACACCAGCAAAGACGATCAGACATATCACGGTGGCAGAGTTCCAAGGATGCGTGACACCACCAAAGTCAAGACCCAACAAGAGCATGATGGTGCTACCGATGACGAATAAGCATCCCGTCCAATCCACAGCCTTTAGACCACTCCATATTGGTGTATTGGGTGTTTCAAGCTTGAGAGTAAACCATAATAACAAGAAAACTAGTCCAGAAATTGGGAGATTGATCCAAAAGCACCAGCGCCAACTACAAGAAGTCAGCGATAAACAATGTAATATAATAGAAAGGTATTCAGCCCTCATCTTTGGCAAGAAAAGAAATCAAGTAAACGGTGGAAGTGCACATATAGGGGCTTTGGAACTGTGAAGTGGCAGGGACAGGAAATAGAACAGGAAAGCATTGCGCATACACACCTTGCTTTTTCAGTAAACACCCCACCGAGGACTGGACCTACTCCACTAGCAAGGGCCCATACGACAGATATGAGACCAAAATACAGCCCGCGATCTCTGAGAGAGAACAAGTCACTGACACAAATGTTCACGAGGGTGATCAGCCCAGCCGCTCCAAGCCCCTGCACGGCCCGGCCAAACAGGAACAGTGCGATGGTATCTCCAACTGCGCAGATCAAACTTCCGCCGAAAAAAATAAAAGTCGCCACTAGAAGCAAAGGCTTTCGGCCCCAGATATCCGAAAGCTTCCCCCAAGCGGGAACGGTCGCTGTATTGGCCAGAATGTAGGAGCTGCCGATCCACGTGTAGGCGGAACTAGACTGAAAGTGTGCGGTGATTGATGGCAAGGCTGTTGTAATAATAGTGACATCGAGAGCAGCCACAAATACCGCTGCACATAAGGCAGTGAGAATGATGAATGTTTGCAAAAATGATCGATCCAAGGTCGGGCTTGGGGAACTCAGGCTTGACTCTCGCTGAGAAGGGACTGGCTCCATTTTCATGAATATTGTCAGAATTTTAAGAAAGGTATTATGAAGTGTGAGAGAACGCCGAATAAATATACAAAATACTGTCGAATTAATGCAGAATGTCCCAAGGTTGAAAGGTTTCCATTGTGGAATAGAGGACCCATCAGGTTATCAGGTGAGTTTGGCTTACTACAACAGTAGGCCCTGGTAGATTTCAACTGGTGGTTACTATTATTTACTATTATTTACTATTATTTACTATCACTTACAAAAAGAATGTGTCTTACACTCTCGTATATCGTTTATCGTATATCGTTTATCGTATATCGTTTATCGTATATCGTTTGGATATCCAGATTGATTTCTCCCTAACTTGCACTTTGATTGATGCGCAGTCTTATTTTGAAGACATTGGAAGTAAGTCAGCCATTATCCAGCTACGGAATCGACTCTCTGTGGCAGTTAAAATGTGAAACTTAAGGCTGAATGTCGGAAATCACCGGTACAGCAATGTATGTTCAAAATGACAGATGTGTATGACTCTAACTAACTAAAATGACAAGAATCCCCTATTTGACAATTTGCTGGGGCATAACTGACTAAGCTTAATATGCAATTTGTATGGGGCCCACTATCATAGCGGTCCATGTATTTTCCGAGGTGTTGAATACTCGGGTTCCCAGTCATGTATTGTAACATAGCTTTCGACACTTAACTTGGTATTGAGACTAGTGCGTTGGATATTGTGGGGGCCAAGACGGTGCGAAGAGATTGCTGCCATAGTCAAGCGCGAGCAGAAATCACTGGGTCCAAGATCTGGTCTAGTAAAAAAAAAACATGTAGCCCACCAATTTGATTTACTATATATCATATTCCGATCTTTTGCTGCGGCCACTGCAATATCAATTTCCACTTCTCATTATGATCCTTCAGCTCACTCAATAACTCCGTGACTAGTTCTCCCCCGCAGCCCTTGGCCCACCAGAAATGGGCCCCCAGTTCATTTAATAGAACTGCCCAATTCATGAGGATCAACAACTGGAATGGCTGACGTGCGCGCAACCCACCCACAAATTCCCTCTTGACGTAGGTGAGCCAAGCCAAGATAGGTGCAGGATGGGGCGCATGGGTGAATTTGGCAAAGGAGTCTTGTAGGGAGTCGATAGCTTCCTGATTAACGCTATACTGCACCGAGTCTGTGATTTCGATTGAGCTATTGAGCATTCGCAGTTGTGCGATAGCATTGGCCATGTCGGGATCCAACGCAGTACTCTCCGTCCAGTCGTATTTGGAGAAGATGCTTGCCTGTCGCCACGGTTTGCTAATTTGTGAGATCTTATTTGCCCCCTGCAGCAGCTCAAAAACTGTCATCATAGTTTCGATCATGCTAAAGGGTTCACCGCGATGCTGGGCGTTTAGCCGAGGGAGTGCCATGCCAATGATAGTAACGATCGCTGATTGAGCAAAGACGGCATCGCAGTTGAGAGGGGTGAGGTGGGCCAAAGCCTCTCGAAAGGGGGCAAATGCAAGTTCATTGCACTGCAGTGCGGTGTCCAGGTAATATAGAACTTTTTCTGGATCCGCGGTAGTGGCTACCATGTGAAGCGCGGCGAGAGAAAATATGCCATATAAGAGAAATTCATGTTCGAAAGCAAGCTTAGGAATAAGGATCTGCCAATCCTCCATGTCAGATCGGTCACCGCAGACACTTTTATAAGTCTCAGTAGAGAATTTGTGCATTAGTAGGAGATGTCGCGCATCATATTGTGGTGATATAAAGGCCGGCTTGGCTAGCGGGGTGGGCTCCGGTTTCGGAGAGGCCTCGGTTGTAGAATGCCTTTGGGGATCGGGTATACTATAGATGCAGGGCAGTTCCCGAACAGTACATGCATTGCATAGGGGCCGTGTCTCATCACACTAGTGTTGTCAGCATCTAGTCTACCTAGGTGGGAGATGTCGGACAGATATTGGCCCACCTTGACACGCCGCTCCTTGCATTGATTGCACCCATTTCTAGACTTCTTGTGAAATCGACGAGGCATGATTTGATCTCATAGATATCGAGGGTGTGGGAAAATGTGGGAGTTGGGAGAGTTGAGGAGCGGGGAACGAGGAACGAGGAACGGTAAACGACAAGCGATAAACGATAAACGATAAACGAAGTACGAACAAAACATTATTAACATATACCAGGCCTAGAGGACTCTCAGGTGTAAGTTTTGTTCTGTTTTTTACTTTAGATGTTGCCACTGTTCAAAAAGTCGGTCATTTGCACAGAAATCACACCCCAATGCCCCGTCGAAGCAACTACATACGGCTACTATCCCAACCTCAGCAGCAACATCTTTTTCGCGGTTTATTTCGGCCTGCTTGGAGTGTGTCAGCTAGGTCTCGGGATATATTTGCGAACGTGGACTTTCCTCGCAGTTCTCGGTATTGGGACATTCATGGAAGCTGCCGGACATGTGGGATGAATCTTGATGCACGACATTCCATGGTCAACGTCTGGGTTTCGACTACAAATCTTCTGCCTGATTCTGGCTCCAACCTTCATTTCCGATAGGATATATCTTACCCTCAAGCATATAATCATCCAGATTGGAACAAAATACTCGCGTATGAACCCGAAGCTTTTCACCTGGATATTCATCGGGTCTGATATTGGATCCATTGTTTTGCAAGCAGCTGGTGGAGGCGTGGTCAATGCAGCCGGGACTGACCAGGCCATGGTTGAGAAGGGAAATAATATCATTATTGCTGGAATTGTCTTTCAGGTTGCCACAATGTCGGAGTGTGGAGTAATGGCGTTGGAGTTCTTCATTGCGTCCAGGAAGAATCTGCGCGAAGGCTTCCAGGGAGAAGCTGGGACTGAGAAGCTACAACAAAGAATATGGTTGGTACTTGCTGCAGAAATTGTTGCCTATACTACTGTTCTCGTTCGGTGTATTTATCAATGAGCTATTTGATTTCGATATAAACTATGAACTTATAACTAATTCCATCTAGGTTTCCTGAGATGGCGGGTGGATGGGGGAACGACTTGATGCAGAACCAAATGGAGTTCTTAGTTCTTGATGGGTTGTATGTCGAACACTTATTGATAAACTATTTAAATGGTCATTTACATCCCGTCATCAAATATACACAGACCAGAGACTTTAACCAAAACAATATACTACATCAAATATCACCATGTCGCCCACTAAAGTTGCCCTTGTCGGAGTATGGTTTTCCTTTTATGTTCAATTTTTTGTGTTCAACTAACATAACTGACCAGGCCTCTGGAAACCTCGGTCCCACCGTTCTCTCTGAATTGTTGGATGCTGGACTCACTGTCACAGTCCTTACCAGACAAAACAGCAACAAGACCTTTGACCCCAGAGCTCAAGTCGAGAAAGTCGACTATGAGTCTCGCAAATCCCTCAAGGCTGCGTTAGCTGGCAATGAGGTAGTGGTTAACACTCTTGGTGTGGGCACTGTTCCCCGAGAGACTTACTTGCGTCTTGTTGATGCCGCGGTGGCTGCTGGTGTTCAGCGTTTCCTCCCAACGCCGCGAAACTCCCAATCTTCGCTGATAAGATTGCTGTTCAGGAGCACCTCATGGAAGTTTCCCAGCAGTCTGGTCTCGGTTATTCCATCCTTATCAATGGGCCTTTCCTCGACTGGGGCTTGAAGATAGGGTTCCTCCTTGATTACTACACTCTACGACGGTGGCGAGCGAAAGTTCAGTACTCCAACCCTTAGCGGTGTTGGCAAAGCTGTAGTAGGGATTGTTAATGACCTTTCCGCTACCAAAAATTCCATAGTCTTTGTCAATGAGGCTACCGTATCCCAGAAAGAACTTTTAGCCTTGTCTGGTAAGCATGTTGAGACCAAGAGTGTGCAAACATCGGAGATCGAACAGGAAGCCTTCGCCGAGCTCGGTAAGCCGGCACCAAACCCTGGCGTATTTGTCTTCGGCTTCCTACGGAGGGCTATTTTTGGTGAAGGGCTCGGGAGTCTGTTCGATTCTAAGAAGCTTTCCAATGATTTGTTTGGCACTCCAAGGCAATCATTAAATAATTTCTTATGTATGGGATTTGGTATGGGTTTGGATTTACAGGATCTACGGGTTACAGGAATGGGCTGATTCCACGCTCTTTTGCTCACCATCTGTACTCTGGGATTCGGCGTTAGGACTCGAGTTCTTGCTTCAGTTGGAAGAAGCGCCTGCATAGTCATACGCAACTAGTTAGACTGCAACAGGTTAATTGAACTTTGATTGATTGATTGATTGATTGATAATGATTTGTTTGGCAAAAAGATTTTATCTAAGACCTTCAGGGATGATGATGATGATGATGATGAATTCATTGACCCGATTTAGCTCGCTATTACATACATGCTGCTATGCGGGGGTTGCGTCCCAGAGCCCGCTCCCGACGACAAATGGTGGTGTATCCCCAGTATACAGATCCACCCTGTAGACAGGACTCGAGAAATTGATTCTCGAGTCCTGCAACCTGAAAAATAAGGCCACAAACCGGCCGGCGTAATGCACATGACAAAAGAAATTAAGCATAAAGAAAGTCATCCACCTGCGTAATGCAGGCGGTCGATCCCGCATTCCCCGCGGGCGCAAAGTGTCCCCTTCCTTTGCAAGCACCTCTCCCCTGCATTTCTCACTTCTTCATCTCCCACTTCTTCATCTCTCCCCTTCCTGGCTCCCCGAGTCACCGAGTCCCTGCATCACCAGGACTGCCAGATCCGCCTGCTGCATCACTCCGGCAGGTCGTACACGAACAGGTTCGGGTCGCGACGCCATGCCTCGTCGTCTTCGTCGGCAGCGTATGCTGATCTCCATGTGCGTTGATGTGAGGTGACCTCGGCGGACCTGGCGCGCGGCCACTGTGTTGTGCGTCCTGTTTCTCCAGCACTCACAGTCTCTTGATTTGGTTTGGTTTTTGTTGGATCATGATGATCCTCGTCCCCTACCCCCTTCTCCTTCCCCGTGGCGACCGAGTCCACTGACTGAAACTGTCCCAGGAGACCCGACGCAATCATGAACTTTGCAACAATCGGCGCTGCCTTCGATTCCCTCAACATCTCCTCCTCCCCGAGCATCGTCGAGATACCCGCCAAGACCTTCAGGGACTCTTCGCCTAGTGAAGTACTTCCTCCATCGACAAACTATATTAGTCAATTGATCTGTTCTGCACTGTATGTTATATCGAATGAAAAATCCCAATTGAGGATTATCAAGTTCTAAAATACCCTCTGACTGAAGAGTTGCTACTCATGATATATTCATGTAGCGTTATTATTTCTCGTTGTTAAGCCTCTTCTCTACAGCACTAATCCAACGTGCCACAATTAATATCCTGTCAATTCATATCCTGTGCTAAATTCATCTATAAGACCTGGGATTCGATAGGCTGTAACTTGAAACTGATTCATCGATTATTTTGCCACTGTGTCTCCTTTTGAGTGTAACTCTAAGTGTTCTATTTGAATAGCAACTCTAGATATTGTCCCGAATTCTTAATAATCAGCACTTTGTGTTATATTGTCTCGTTATAGCTCTCTACCCCTATTGAGTTAGGGTTGCAAGCCCCGGAAAAGTTGTCTTAGTTCCCACAATGTGTTTAGTAAACGAAAACCGGAACAGAACGCCCTGATGTAACATCAGGCCAGATGTGTTCTTTGAAGTCAAAGGCTCGGGCATCTGGCAGGATCTCGCGAAGTCGATCCCGCAGAGGATTCAGGGGATTCATGCTAACAGTAGCGATGATAGCCAATTGATCTTTTATTGCCTTCGTGACCGTCAAGTGTGCCTCTCCCACTAGGAACTTGGCCCCTACTAGCAGCCCAGAGACTGTCCCTTCTTCGGTCGGTGTTAGGATACGTGTCAAAAGAGTAGTTTTCAGAGGCTTTGAATGTTCTTCCCTGCATGGCGCAGAGCAGGATCGCATGATTCCCTTCTCGGGGAACTCCAGACACCTTTGGCTGAAGACCGCAAAGCTCGAGCTGTCTCGCGTATCCTTGATGACCCGAAACCAGTTATGCGACTCTTTCCGCGTGGATGGCAATACGGGACAATTGAGAGGACTATCGTAGAAGGGCCAGGAGACTTGAAGATTTCCTTCGCCGTCAACACCCGAGTGCTCCAGCGCAAGAATTGAGTTTATAATCACGCGGCGAGCTTCGAGACCAGTGAGAAGTTTGATTTGCCCAGGAAAATGGCCCAGTGAGTCTATCTCGTCCACTGACTGCCATCGGCTCCAGCATGAAATGATGCAATTCTTGTCGCCAACGTTGTGGGCGCAATAGATTGGGGAATCTGTGGAGTGGGTGCTCGTTTGAGAGAAGCGGAGAGCGTCCCAGAGTGTCACTCGCTGGGCATTTCCGGTGCATGCACTAACTTCCAACCCAACGCGGAGGTTTAGAAGTGGCACGAGCCTTGTGTCAGGCTTTGTACAGTTCGCAATGAGCATTGCCTTAAGTGTGCGCTTCGGGATCCGCTTATACTTCTTCATGGGTCCGGCTGTGACGTATTGTCCACCGACGAGCTGGATATCGTACCCATCGCTCACGTATTGTGATTTGCTTGTTCCGGGATACTGGAGCCGAGAGGCAATTTGTTGTCCAATAATCGAAATAGAAGACTTGCACTTCTCGTTGACAACAAGCCCAGCCCCAACGTCAGTCATGGTGCCGATCAACATCCTCAATGTGTTGCCAATTAGAATTGGCACTTCACAACTCTTATTAGAGAGAAATTCTGGGATCTCTGTCATCCAGTGGCATTCAACCTCATCATACGATGAAGATATGGACAAGGAAGATTGCCGCTCTCGTGGAAATGGGACAATGAAACCTCTCTCAGTTTGAATGATTGGCGCTGAATTTGCAGTAGCTCGGACCAGCGAGATGGGCCCCCATAATTCTTGCAAATCTTGGACGGTAAATGATATCTTCATTCCCTGAGATGGAACGGAGCCTTTCCCTAGAATCCATGCAGGACCACCGACAAAGTCGTCCAAGCAAGCCAGCTTTTGTGGCTTAAAAAGAATACCCTTCAAACACGACAGAGATGTATCTCACCTCCCGGTCCCATAAATTAATATCGAATGGACACACGTGTGAGCCAGAGAATGATATGATCCCAATTGCTAGAATCTCACACAGGAACCTAAGAATCTGCTCTAAATCAAGATCCAAGAGGGACTTCTCCTCGACCTTGAGCAACGTTTGGATCCAGTTCTCTATCAAACGTTTCGATGCATCTTCATTGGACGGAAGCGAAATAGTCTGGGACAATGCGCTAACCTGGCTCAATGATATATTGACGGCACTGGCAACACCATCCCGGTCTTGGTCTTCGATCAAAATGCTGATGGAGGGTCCACAAAATCCCTGAGACTGTAGATATCTAAGCGCAGCTTGCCAATTACTAAGACACTCGATACAGTCATGCAGCGATTCAAGCTTGGTGTAGGGCCCGTTTTCCATGCCCATCATCTGTGCAGTTTGAAGCTCGAGCTGGTCCAATTCACTGAAATACCGAGTTGCATCCAAGATGTGGTCCATATTCTTTATGTCTGGTATACCTACATCTATCGAGTCTTCTTGATACTCTGGGGTTGTGATATTTGTTGTATTTAAGAGTGCAGCCGAAGAGTTGGGGCTCTGAGGAAGAGGGAGTCGGCTTGGTTGGTGCATGATGGGGTCCTGTTGTTCAATTCTACCGGAAGGTGAGGATTTCTCCTGTGCCATATCAACACCTTGGAACAATACATCATTTGCTGCTTCCATCCCAGAATGGTTCGGTTCGGTTGGATTGATGGACATTGAGAAAGACGGCAGAATAGGCCTCGAGAGACGGTGGTACAGATCTTCCAGAATGGCGTGAGTGTGAATGCGGCCCTGCTCGGACTCTTTATATAACGCTGTCAGATCCAACGTTGTCCCGTGCTCCTGTGCCCCCCGTAGGTATCTCAGTAGCCCCCGCTCTAATGCGATGGTGATATCCTTTGTCCGCTCACGAGCAATCGGGTCACCTTCCTCGTATTCCTGGCCCGCGGCTTGATAAAACTGATCAAACCGAGACTTGATTTCAGTAATGCCGCGTTTGAGCGATTGTCCCAGTTCCCGGGTGGACTGACATTCGTGATACTTCTTCCGAATGGTAGTAAACATTTGGTATAGGTGGTGGTAACTGTTCAACGATTTGGGTTTGTTAATCTTATCGATTGCTAACCGGAGAGGAAATGGTCTTACTGCGTGCCACACAGTCCCTCATATCATGAGCAGGTGGATTATCACATATGTGACAACGCAGCCCAAATTCCGACCGATTGTGGCATGTTCCGCAATCACTCATATTATGGCTACACTGTGTGCACACCTGGGGTGGAAGAAGAACGTGATTAAGCTTGTGTTGCGCTCCAGGGTGGGTTGTAGATCCTATCTCAGACAAAACCTCAGTCGTAAGGATGTCACCACTAAGACTTAAACTTTGGGGTATCTGGTTGACGGGAACATGGTACCTCAGATCAAAATAGTCGTAAAGCGATGCATGAGTAGGATCCCAAGCTTTCAAACCTGTCCAAACTGTTGAATGGCCTATTCCCGAGTATGGAAAAGCCCCAGATTCAGAAATTGGCGGCTTTGAGACATTTTTGCGTGGAAATAGGTCGGAATTGCTAGAGCCAATCGAAGGACCTAATCCCGAGTCTAGAGAAGCCCCAGATTCAGAAATCGGCGGCTTTGGAATATCTTTGTGAGGAAAGATCGTGTCATTGCCAGAACCCATATTAAGATAATTGAGAAATAAAGAGAGAAGAGAGTGTGAAGCATGCCCAAAATCAACTGAGGCTCTTTACTCTCGTTACCAAAGTCTGACTCACGTTTATGCACAGCCCTCAGCCGCTAAGCAGGGTGTCGTGGTGGCATGGGATTGGTGCATCATTGTGGCTTCGCTTCGCTGGCGTCCCTCGGCCCTGACTCGGTCAGAAATTCACCCGGTAGAATGTGTCACATGTAACTATCATATTTTGTACGCCAGGAACAGATTTAATTTGCATCCTTCGTCGTTATAGTTATTCATAGTTCATTATACACCTTGACAAGATGTGGTGAACTGAGTGCCCGATAGGTGCATAGGTATGTATCCGATAGATCCCGCAAGTACTTTGTAATATTTTTGCTGAGCCTCTCCATAATACTCTAAAATACAATGTTGGTTTCCCATAATTTAGTTAGAATTCAGTGCTTAAATCGATCGGCAATATCGGACCAGCCCGCAACGAGTTAGTCGACCCACTACTCTTCATATTGAAAGCCAAGTACACAACACCGGCCAGTGCATAGGATCTTGAAATCACATCTAGCACTCCTCCGCTATGGAAAGCTTCTCGGTCCACTCCCTCCCCGAAATAACATCCATCTTGCGAGCAAAGACCTTCTCCATCAACACACGGTGCAGCTCCTCGTCACGATCCATGCAACAATCCTCCAAGACTGTAATGCGGTAGTCCATATCCATCGCCTGTCGAACAGTCGACAGCACAGCTCCACTGGTAATCAAGCCGGCGACAACGATAGACCTTGCGTTTGCGCAGCGCAAAAGCATATCAAGTTCAGTAGCAAAGAAGGCGGAGACACGACGCTTGGTGAGGACAACTTCTCCAGACGCAGGTGCGATGGCTGGGTGGACTTTCACAGACGAGTGGCCTTCGAGATATTCACCACGTGAGACGACAGAGGGGACAGATGAGTTGTTTGGATTATTTTCTGGGTAGCCTGGGCGGAAGGCGGTGACAACGTGGATGATTTTCACATTGGCCTTGCGTGCGGAAGTGACAGTTAATCTCAGGCGTTCGAGGTAGGGCTCTGTGTTGTCGAGCCGGTCGATTACTCCGTTTTGGACGTCGAGGATCAGGAGGACGGTTGCCATATTTGCTGGTAGCTGGGGATATGTAGTGAAATTAGAGAAGTGGTAGAAGTAGGGATAGAATGGGGATGAGGTTAGGTTTAAGAGGGAGACTCAAAGAGAGAGAGTTGATATCGAACGAAGCAAGTCTGTTGTTGAATGGTTGCGGTTCCGGTGTTTGGGATCCCGGTACCGGCATGGACATATGAAATTGAGGAAATTGAGGAAACTCAGACTATTTTACATAAAAGAAAGAAATGAGCAGAATCGCTCATAATTTTTGATAAATACATGGTAAAAAGAAAAAGTGGTTGAGGGTCCCACACAAAAAGCGAAAACATATCAGTCAAGTCTCGGTCTCTTAACCGCGAATTGTTCCAAAAGCTCGACTCTTTCCTTCAGGCGGGCATTCTCTTTTTCGAGATCCCCACGATCCAAAATCAAATCGTCGCGATACCTCTTTTGCGTTTGGGGTGATCCTTCTATGCACTTATCCAAGATGTCCCGGTGCTTCTTGGACGACATCACCGAATCAGATCGCCCTCTCTCTGGCGTCTTGGCCCGAGGAGTCTTCGGCAGTCTAGGTGTCTTGCATGGCGTGATAGGATGGTGACTGGTGACCGTCTCATGCTCGCTGTCGGATTCATCTTCCTCTGATTCGGAGCTATTGTCACTCTCTTGACTGTCGTGACTCTCTTGGCTCTCTTGGCTCTTGTGTGATGGCCGAGGTGAAGGGGGTGAATATTCGGGGCTGGAGTGTCGGCTTATTGCCTCCGTGGATGTAATGATGGGTAAAGGAACGCTTGTTCGAAGTGGAGACCGTCTGCTTGTCATTCTATGACCGTGCTCGTCCGAGTCGAGGTGGCTATCGAAAAGGGAGCTTCTATCCTCTGGGGCGGCGGTAGCACGGTTGCCTTGAAGGCAGTTGCGAAGACGATTTTCATCGAGAGGTACAATGCAGCTTTGACGCCAAATATCTGCAGCTTCTTTCACTCGTGTAGATGAGGCTAGCTCGCCATGGATCCAGCTCGTAAACTCAGCCACCCCCAGTGTAGTGGCATTTTCATTGTTATCCAAAAATCTCTTTCTCATATAGTCGGTATAGCTCTTCTGGATGGGACCGAATGCGATATTTTCCATTGGGTTGAAGAACTTTTGCTCGTTCTTGGGAAAAGAAAGACAGGCGATATTGTTATCCCAACAAAAGCTTACGAAATCGGGGAAAACTATGCGAAATCGCTGGGAAATCATCAGGATTCTCCATGTTCGACGCCGAACTCTAGGTCGAGTCTCTGGCTCAAAAACAGTCTTCAACCAATCAACTGCATGGTTTGGTTCAGCCCAGCCTGACTGGTTGAAGGAAACCTGGATTTGACCGATGTTTCTAGTTTGTGGTGGATCCTGGCTCCTGCAGACTATGTATGGGCGCAGGTGCTTTCCTTTTGTTGAGCAACAATGGATGACAGACGAGAATGCCCGTTCTTCTCTCTTGTGATGTTGATTTGTAGGTCGAACAAACATAGCGTTCGACTTTCGATATATAGTGGTAACAAATGCGGCGTCTTCCATTGCGTAGATATTCTCATCGGTAACCTGGAACCTCTCCTTCATATCTTTGAACGCTTCAAAGAATTTCCAGGCCCTGCGGTCTTCATGCGCACCTTTCAGCCGCATTGTATCGCGCACTTCAGCTAAGGTGGCAGCAAGTTCCGGATTGCGATCCAAGAAGCCCTTCTGCCAGCCAACGTTGAGGTTTGGTCTGTTCTGGTTGTAGCTTTGATCATTATGGAAATACACATTGGCTATATCCTTTGCCAACATGTGGTAGGGAAAGAACCCATGTTGGACCCAACGTTCCACCCGCTCAACAACTTCTCTCTCATCCTCGACGGAGAGAGCTGGTTGACCCATGACACCAGACTTTTTTCTCAGGTATGCACCAGCAAGAGTTGTAGCAACTTCTGAAGCAATCGTGTGAGATGGAGGCGCCCCAACAACAATGAGCATACCTTTTTCAAGGACGCTACTTGAGCATAGAAATTCAGACGCAGGATTGAGAGAAAGAGACACGGAGGACGCCACTCTGACCCAAAAGAAAAACTTTCGCACTGACAGTGAGTCCTGGGGTCGGAAACATTGCCCAGGCCTCCACTCTGTTAGCTCAACAGAATTCTGGTTCACATTAGATCACTGCGTTTTGTATGGCTAATTGAGCTTTTTCTTTAACACAAAACTGTCAATTCGGGTATAAAGTGGATGCTTTTCACTCTAGGCCGGCTCGTTTCCATAGTGACGTGTATCCACAGAGTGTTGAAGATTTCTTCTAGTTTCGTTTTTTTCTCCGGTGTAATTTTTCGGTTGCAACTGATGATTGGGAATAAGATAGATCGACAGGCACATCGGATAGCCGAATGATGCAAAACCTCGTTTATACAGAAGAATTAAATTTCGAGGCAGCAGCCGAATAAAACTGGGTTCGAGGGAAGGTCTATGAATGAGTCTTGTAGTGGCGGTTGTTCTTACATGGGTGGTGATTTTCCATGTCCATCTCACGGGCTTTGAGTGTCTTCGAGTATTTTAGGTGGCTTCCGATCCTTCGAAGTTTTGCGGGTCTTTGAGATTCAGTGAATCTAGCGAGCTCTTACTTCGTAGAGTGAATGATCATGCTCGAAGCTGGCTGCACACCATTTCTGAGACATCCGATTCGCCGGGATCTCCCGACTCCGACTTTTACGGATTTCCATGATTCGGTATATCGTGCGCTTGACATGATCGGTCTGATTCTGGTGGGCGAGAATTCTGGTGTGCTATCGATGAGCAATAATCTGCTCATGCCACAATATACGGCTGGAAGAGGAATTCGAATTACAATGGACCAGTTGTCCCAGCTCAACTAGCGGGTGCGAAGTCATGTCGGTCTTGTATGCCGATCGCATTCGTTCATTTCCATTTATAAACTTGTGAGGCCTTCCTCGAAGCTGCAATCCAATAATGTCAATAATGTCAGGAGTTGATGTCGGGCCCGTATTCTGACAGCGGTCGCGGCCCGAGTCCGTCCCCGGGATTCAGGGAGACCCAGTGTTTGTTAGCGAAGTGTGCTCCATGCGTATCCACAGCGGAGATGAACGAGTCAGTCTCAGCAAAAGCAGATGACTATGAGGATGATTGAGAGCATGAGAACATTGATGATGATAGTGTCACCTGTGTGCACTCATATCAGTTATTTGATCGACCTGGTAACTCGTCCTCGGGGCGACCCGTGGACCCCTGACTTACTTACATAATCATCCATGACGTCACTGTCAAAACTATAAGACGAATCTCCTCGCGCACATGTGCGACTTTCTTTCTATGGCTGCCTTCAATCACTGCCCAAAACTGGCCAATTACGCATCAATCTAGTTTACATGTAACCCCACTACTAACCTAAAACAAACACCATGGCCGTGGCATCAGTCCCAATCACATACGGTGGTGACAGTGAGTACATTCTGGCAGAAAGTATCCAATAGATACTGACGAGACCACAGGGATGCTGAGCTCGGTCGCAGCACTGAACGGTCGCGTCTTCGACACTGATCCTGTCATTGCGTACATGCTGCTGAGCATGTCTCAAGAAGAAAGGTTGGCTTATCTGCCGACATACTGGACCGCGCTCATCAAGTCAGCCTTGCTTAATCACGCAGTGATCACCGAAGCCGATGACTGGAAAGCGGCCTCTGTCATGATTCCCCCGGGTGGATACATTGAAAATGCCTGGACTCTTCTGTGGGCTGGATTTCTGGGCGTCCTATGGAGAATAGGATTCGCAGGCATCAAGGTAGGCGAAAGCCCAACATTCTCGCTGCGAACACTCCTAACCTCACTGATTATCCAGCGCCTTTGGTTCGAATTCTCTGGTATGACCGACAATGCAAAGAGAAATGGTCTACGTGGTCACAAACAGTACTACTACATTTTCAGTCTCGGAACCGAACACGAACACCGTGGAAAAGGTCAGACAACCCCATCTGCGACTCCATAATACTGCATATCTTACTGATCCTTGTCCAGGCATTGCCAAAGCAATCATGCGGGATCACCAGCAGACCGCCCAAGCCGCGAACCTCCCGATCTGGCTCGAAGCAACGACTGAAGGCTCACGTGCTCTCTACCTGTCGATGGGATTTGAGGAAATTGAAGAGATTCGGCTCGGGAAGGGCAAGGTCGCTGCCGATGCTAGCCTTCAGTCTGGTGGGCCAGGAGTATCCCTTTGGGCGATGGTATGGTGGCCAAACCGAACTCCTGATGCTATTCCTTAGGTTTTACAGGTATTCTTCTGCTTATTCATACGCTTATTGCTAGCATATGTATGTATCCAAGCGATCACGCTCATTATCAACAACCCGATTTATTCATATTTGTGCTATATTCGATTCTGGGCGACTTGACAATCTGCTATTTGAAAACAGCTAACAGTGTACAGCTTATCGAACTGCTCTGTTGCCTTGGCCAAAAGACAATCTCAGCAAACACTCTTCAAGTTGTTCAAATCCTTGGGAATAACACCAGCCTTGACAGCATCTGCAAGAAGTCAGCTACCCTCATCCAATTATCCACGGATAAAAATGAACTCACCCTGGTAGGACCATCGGTAATCATTCAGCTGTGCCTTCCAAGTCCAAAAGACCCATCCTTGCTGCTGCTCATAAGCATGAACCTGCGCCGCAAACCACTTTCCATAAAAGTCGGTATTCGAACTGGGATCCCAATTGGAGGATCTCGCGACAGTATCCGAGACAGCAAGACTCCATTCGCCAATGATATTAGGGAAGTTACTATCACGCTTATCGCCGCAGGATGTGCTAATGTAGTTATCATGCGTGGGGTCAACGCTTGTATCCCATTTCAAGTAGCGGTGATCATCATAGGCCATGTATGTCAAGTCGTCGAGATACTCGTTTGGATCACCCGAACCCCAGGACTTATCCATTGTCTGAATATGGAGGTAGTCGTTCGGGTGGATTGAAAGTTTCTTCTCAGCGGCGCGTATACGCTGTATTCATCTATTAGTCCATGACTACTCAGCAAGACAAAAAGACCTCACCTCAACGGCCTGTGGGTAATACTTCGACCGCATGGATAAAGCCTTCCCCTTATTCCGAACGGGCTCATTAACAATCTCCAACATCCCCACATTCCTCATCTCATCGGTCTGATGGACAAGATCAACCATCCACTCGAGCCATTTAAGCGCCCGCTCATAGTTGTAATCCGTATAGAACCCAGTCTCAGAAACATACTGCCCAGTGAATGAATTATTCGCTGTCTGAGCACCGGGCGCGCCATGCAAATCCATAATAATATACAGCCCCTTGTCACTAGCCCACCCACACAGTTTCTTCACCTGATCAAGTCCACCCTGCGGGAAACGTTCGCTGCTCGTGTCAACCAGGTCCTCGTTCAGCCAGTAACCAACCGGCACACGGATAGTGTTCAAGTCGTAGTTCACGATTTCGTCAATATCATCTTGGGTAGTCCATGACTTCCAGTGTTTGGCGAAAGCAGTATTCGCGGCGTCTTGGCCGAGTGAGGAAACGCAGTCGAATTCCGATTTCTGTCCGTCACAGCCCATTTCGTTCCAGGCATTGTGGGCAATCCAGGGTTCGAAGATGAATTGGGAGCCAAGGTTTACACCACGGATTTTGCCGTTAGAGGACTTGAAGAGATTTGTGCCATCTTTTGAGGTGATTGATTTGTTCTCTTCTGGAAGCCAGGCTTTTGCCACGGTAATTAGGGTGGTGAAGGCGGCGAATCTGGATATCATGCCCATGCTGGTGGTGGACAACATGGAGTTGAATTGGGGAGAAGTGACTGCCTAGAGTGAGAGAGAGATGGATTTCATCGAATATAAATAATCTCTGGTATATTATCCCAGTACCCGCCATCCAGATCATGGGGGAATCTTATGCATGTTCTAAGATGATGATCCTACTAGTGAAACTGGCGAGTTTCCGGTTTAGGAAACCGAGCTGACGTTATATAAATATTCTGGGGATGGTTGGTTGCAGGCACGGTCGGTTGCAGGCACTATGACTGTTGCACTAATTCTTGAATATCTGATCACTATGAAAGATGTCTTGCCTTCCAAGATTCAACAATCTGAATATTAGCAGCTATTCCTACTAACTACACGTAGGTATATACAGGGTCCTTGTTAATTAATTCCTCGCTCTGGGGTTTCTCTGTGGATGATCTTGTCAGCTTGATGAATGATCATCCCGGGGCTCGATCGATTTGGCAAATTCAGGCCTCCAAGGTGGGGGCCTGATCAGCAGACTAAACACAGGCCACCTTGGAGGGGGGGGGGGAGGGGGGCTAGTTGGAAAAATTAGTTACACCTTCATCCCAGCTTACATGAAGACTCTACCAACTACCATAGAAGTAATACAAGACAACGTTAATTATCATTAGAGAACATTAAAAATCATAATTGCGTCCGTTGCAATCAATCAATATTAGAAAATCATAAAACATGTACTCCTCAGAGCGCCTTGAGCAATTCCTGGACCAAAGGCAAGAAGCTTGTAACATCATCGATCAGGAGTGTTGTCTCATTGACGAACTTGGGAGTGAGGAGGTCATGAGCGTTCTCCAAGAGCGCGCCAACATCCGAAATAACAGAAGGCTTGAGCAACTTTGTTACCTCGGGTAACAAGTCGGGCACGTATCCAAGGATCTCCTTGAGCGTGGTGACAATCTTGGGGGTGAGGAGGCCATCGGCGTTTTGCACGAGGTCTGCGGTCTCGCCGACGAAGGCGGGCGTGAGCAAAGTGGTAGCGTTAGTCACAATGTATCCCAGGTCCGTGATGATGGTTGTGTTCAGCAGAGACCTTCTGAGATCGGGGAGCAGGGGAATGACGTCGCCAAGGAGATCCTTCAATCCAGTGACAATTGGTGGGCTCAGGAGATCGTCGGCGCTGTCGACCAGGCCAATGGTCTCGTTGACGAACTTGGGTGTCAATAGAGTGTTGGCGTTGGTCAAGAGAGAACCAATGGCGGAGATGGTGCTCTTGTTCAGGAGCAAATTCAGCTCCGGCAGGAGAGGAATGACGTCCTTCAAGATCGACTTCAGTCCATTGGCCACCTCCGGAGTGAGGAGGTCGCCGGCCTCGCCGACAAGGCTCTTGGTGTCCTTGACGAAGTCTGACGTGAGCAGGTCTCCGGCGTTGTTCAGAAGCGTCTCGATCGAATTGATCGTTTGTTTGGTCAACAGCGACTTCAACTCGGGGATCAGTGGAATCAATTCGGGGATCAATGGAGTAAGATCACTGAGGAGCGACTTGAGAGCCTTGACCAGATCGGGGGTGAGCAAGCTGACAGCCTCTGTGACCAGGGTGTTGGTGTCCGTGACGAAGGCGTCCGTGAGCAGCTTGTTAGCGTTGCTAAGCACATTCTCGATTGCCTTGATAGTGGCTGGCTTAAGCAGACCCTTCAGCTCGGGAATGATAGGAGCGAGCTGGACGAGGAGAGACTTCAAGCTGTCAATAGTGTCCGAGCTCAAGAGCTCACTAGCTTCATCAATCAGGCTAGTGGTCTGGTTCACGAAGCTGGTAGTCAACAGGCTATTGGCATTGCCGATAAGAGTCTCGATTTCCTTGACATTGCCCGCACTGAGGAGGCCGCTAGCCTGGTTGATAAGGGGACCAGCCTGTTGAATGAGCTTGCCGGTAGTGGAGATGAAGCTGGGCGTGAGCAGCTTGTTGCCATTGCCCAAGAGCGACTCAATCTCCTTGACATTGCCCTCGGTGAGTAGACCGCTGGCCTGGGTAATGAGGGGACCGGCCTGGCTAATAAGGGGACCGGCTTGCTTGATAAGCTTACCGGTGGTCGAGATAAAGGTGGGCGTTAGCAGATCATTGGCATTGTTCAAGAGCGCCTCGATCTCCTTAACATTACCCGCGGTGAGGAGACCGCTAGCCTGGCTGATAAGAGGACCGGCCTGCTGGATGAGCTTGCCGGTAGTCGCGATAAAGCTGGGCGTGAGCAGCTTGTTAGCATTGGACAAGAGTGACTCAATTGCCTGGACATTGGCCTCAGTGAGGAGACCACTGACGTCGTCAATAAGAGGGCTGGCCTTGCCAATGAGGTTGCCGGTCTCCTTGATAAATGTGGGGGTGAGCAGCGTGTTGGCGTTTGTCAAGAGTGACTCAATCGCCTGAACATTCTTCTCAGTAAGCAGGCCGCTCGCGTCCTCAATAAGAGGGCCAGCCTTATCGATGAGAGGACTGGCTTTGTCAATAATGTTGTTGGTCTTATTGACGAAATCGGAGGTAAGGAGGTTGTTGGCATTGTCGATGAGGCTGTCCACCTTGTCGATGAACTGACTGGACAATAATTTATTGGCCACTTGGAGAAGGGTGCCAATCTCCTTGGTGTTCTCCTCGGTCAAGAGGCTGTTGGCATTGTCAATGAGACTGCCGGTCTTCTTGATGAAGCTTGCTGTCAAGAGGTCATTGGCATTGCCCACTAAGGTTCGGATCTGGTTGTCGACCGGGGGTGCTAGACCAGTAGAGAGATATTCGAAGGTGTCGGCGAAGTTGCCCAAGAAGCTAGGGTTAAGCAGACTTTCAAGACCACTCAGAAGCTGCCCAAGTCCGCCACTACTACCGCCGAGCAAACTCGACAAGGCATCTTTCAAGTCTGGCAGGATTTCGGAGCTGCTATCTGAACTGGTAGACTTTGTGCTTGATGTGCCTGTAGCAGAGGCAGCGGAGGTAGTAGTCTCGGCAGCGGAGGTTTTCGCGGCGGAGGAACCAGTCTCAGCAGGAGACTTATCAGCGGTTTCAGTTGGGGCGGTTGCAGCGGCTGACTCAGTTGGTTCCGCCGTACTGGCACCGAGAGCAGTCTTTATACCGCCCACCACGGATTCCACAGGGTTGGCTGTGGTCGGATTGGCGGCATTAGCAGAGGCGGTGTCTGCAGCAGCAGTGGTCTCTTCCTCCGTCGCAGGCGCAGCAGCAGCCGCAGTGGCCGTGTTGGCGGCTTCGGCGGTGTTAGCGGCAGGAGTAGTCTCAGCAGCAGCAACTTTAGCCTGGTTGACATTGTTTGCTTGAGTCGCTGAGGCTGTCGGGGTGGCCTCCTCTACAACACTCGCGACGGGAGTGACAGCTTCCGCCGAGGCTGAAGGAGCGGCCGGACTTCCTGACACATTGGCTGCGAATAGGAGCGCGGTGGTGAGCGTTGGCAAAAAACGCATCTTGTCGAATGGGCCAATCTGGCTATCGTTCCTTTATTTGATATCTTGTCTAGCCAGTCGAATCGGCGTCAATTCCCCAAACCTGTTGTTCAAAGGTTTGTTGAGCAGGAAGAGCCTTCGGGGATTCAAAAACTCAACCCCGGACAGAGCCAGCTCTTTATTTGCATTGAGATGGCATTGATCGTCGTGCAGCAGGCAGGGTTCTAGCTAACCGCAATGGTACCAACATCTGTTTTTTCTTTTTGCGTATTCCAAACGGAGTACGAGGGAGCTCCATCATCCCCGAAGAAATAATGATCGACACCGAGGCAAATCAGTGATAACCTCCCATGTGATGGACAGTGATGAGCAATTCTCAGTACACCTCCACTCCGTAGCAGAATCTAGCAGCTCACGGTCGGCCGTGCCTGGGGACTAGGCAGGGATCTGCATTACTAGCAAGGGGGAGAGTAATTATATTTCCGCGCCCGAGGTCCAGCCAGGCACATGTGGAAGCTTTTCTGGGGGAAGGCTGGGCGTCCATTAAGGGAAAGCCATCGTAAAGCTTCGTATATAGTGGCTTATTGCGGATGGGTGCGGGATTTCTGGGGGAAAAGCCAAGGCAAAAGCGGGGGATATATTATACTTCCCCACAAGAAGCCAAGATGAGGAACAAAGCCAATGATGGGATGGCTAGATCGAGTTGGAAATCCGAAATGGGGGCAAATGATAAGTGCGAATAGATGAGAACAAGGAATTGAGAGGGAAAAAATTGAGGGGAGAGGTTCGGAGTTGCAGCTGAAAGAGGAAATGAACGACATGGACGGAGTACCTTTGCGCATCTCCACCAAAAGCTTCGCAATTCCCATCCAACAGACTTCGATATGTTCTCTATTCTCTTTATATTTGTTTGTATTAGCTTATATTTGGAAATTCACAATTGGGAGACTGTTCATGAGAATTGAGTAGATTTCAAGTATACACATAAAAACCAATCGGAAACCAGCACAGAGTACGGAGTACTATGTCCAGGACTCTTTGACCAGACGAAAGAAGTTCAGATCGCCGAATTTCTACATTTGGAAAGCTTAAGCGGTCATCTTTTATTCCCTGTTTACGATTTGCTTCCTTTTTTTTCCTTCATTCTATGTTGTCCCTCAAACTTGTGTACCACCTACTATATACTACATAGATCTCTATATATTCCTCAATACCACATTGCTTTAGCACAAGCGCGTCTCCGAGTCATTCGAACGTGACTCAAACTACCTGTATTCTAGAAACCATACATGAGCCTCCTTCTAATTGGTTATACATTTCCCAGTAGCAGTCGCTTCCATTGTAGGTCTTCCTCACCGAAGCCGAAGCTAGCCCCCATAAACACTCACCACACAGGTAAATACCCCTAGCTCTCCTAGTCAATCAGAGCGCTCAGTTCAAAGTTGGTGGGATCTACGATGATATTGCAGTTAGTCAAGTGCCCGTGGGTAAATGTCTAGGGGTGAGGAGAAGGCATGCCGTCACGGAGCCGCAATCTCACAACTTCCGGTACTTTGGCGCTTAAGGATTTCGCGAAAACATCCCAAAGCTCGTCAGCTGTGCTCAATAGCCCATGCGTATCCCCAAATTCCTCATTATGAAAAAGATGAGGACACCAAACTGATTGGCCATGAAAACTTTGCATATTAGCGTAGTGGAACGAGCGGAGCTGCCCGCAGTCTGACGAGCGAGTGTTTCCCGGTCGGGTTGGGGGATTGACGACCGGATCTCCTTTAACGGTACCCCAGGCACCCGCTCGACGATCTGAAAATACTTGTCGCCCTTGGTCCACTCCTGTACGCTTGTTGGGTCGGGGACGGTGGTATTCTCTTTGATGAAGTGGGTGTTGATGACCTCATGGCTGGGGGGATATTTCCCGCGTTCCTTGAGAAAAAAAACTTTGAGCCGAGGGACCAGTAGCCACGATTGCTAGCTCCGTGGAAGAGGCGCACGCTACTTTCGTAGGCGCAGCGCCTTTGCTGATCTGAAGTCCATTTGCATGCGGGGCAGGGGTCCTCTGATGATGACATTGAAGTTGTTATTCCGTTCTCTTTGGTAAGCAAGATATGTGATAAATTAGATCGTCTCAGGTTGATGATAGATCTGAATAATAAGGAAGAATCACAAGATAAATAGCTCGGTTCTTTTTACAAAGGACTCTCTGAGGTATACGGGGACATACCTCCACGGATGGTTGCATTTGCGCAATGACCTATCATCGCTTAAAATAATAATACATATCTTCTTGGGTAGATTTGCAGAGCCTTGAGGTTTAATTCTAATCAAAGGCAGTTGATTGCACCGCTATGAAGCACTTTTCTCTACCTCGGTCCCCTCATCTGTTAGGTTTGGGTATGTATGTAACGATGTAACGATGGCCGTGTTGTGCTTCAAGATATGATCTATCCGTGCTACCCCGTCCACTCTAATGCAGGGCAACTGAGTCAAAATTTGGTCACGGCGTTGTCTAAAGATACCATGTCGCAAGTGATGTAGGCTGATTTCTGGAATACATTTTTGGGTATGACCATAGCCAGATGAGCTGATATGACGTTCAATTCGTTTATTTAATCATTCACGAGAAGTGATTCTAGAAGTGGGTACACAAAGTAGCTACCATATCTCTGATTCTAGCGAATTTGGCGTCAGCAGTCTGACTCTCAAAGTCCTTCGTGGATTTCTGAAAGACCTTCCAGACCTCGAGATAGTTGTCGTTCGTTGTGCCGATATTGTCAAATGCCTGTTTCATCTTATCGTGTTTTTTCAGCTGATCAAAGTGACCCGACTCCAACTTGTATTGACCTTTTTCCTCCTTTGCACGCATCATCCGAATTTGAGCACAGTATAGGATCAGAGCCGCCAGACCGACTGCGAGAGCAGTAGCAACCGAGGAGCCGGTAAAGTATTTCACATTTTTGACCACTGAATCGGGGATTTCCTCTCCCTCCACCAATGTCCCCGGCAAGATATAGTCGACTTTGGTCATGTCACCCACAATAGCATCGCGCCGGCCTGCTGCGGTAGCTGCCCCGATGGTAAAAATGGACTTTATCGGTTTGGATGGGTAGGTATCACCTTGATGGGCCCCTTTGTCACTTGCCGAGCAGAACATGAGGATTCCCTGTTTCTCTGCCTCTTTGATCGCCCTTTCGAGTTCCTGAAAATCGGCAGTCAAGGACGCGGAGGACGTGGAGGGCACAGCGATGGTCCAAGACATGGAGATGATGTGAACCTTTTTCTTGACGGCTTGACGGATGGCCTTCTAAAGTCAGTTATTGTAACTACTAATTTGAAATAGGCTGCCAACTTGCCTGAGCGGCGCTCTTGGCCGTGATTCGCCGTTGCTCTGAGTCCGGTTGGTCGTGCAGTTTCAACACGTACAATTCAGCCCAAGGGCAGATGCGATGGATCTGACTAGCCATGATTGTTCCGTGTCCCCCGCTTGACTCGTAGTACGGAACCCTGCGCTTGATGTCGCTAAGCCGGGGGCAAAAGCTGCATCCTTCAATCTTTCTACCATTGCCCAAGTTCAGTTCCTCTCGGTCGATATCAACGCCGTCATCAATGAGTGCCACCACAATAGGTCCACTTTCATTCCGTATCTTTTCCGAAACTGAAGGCTTCACGCTGTTTTCAATGTTGTAAAGACAGGCTCTGAAATCAGTCATAATTTGAATCCACTCATGCTTTTGTGGCTCGTCAACAACAGGGGTGGAGTTTGACACCACAGAACTTCTGCCTGCGAGCTTTTGTGGAGATACAACCTCGACATCCACTTTGGTCAGCCTCTCCATCATCTTAATTGCAATTTCCTTAGAAATATCTTTGAATCCTTCGCTTCCTTTTTCACCGGATATGAATTTAGCCATCGAGGCAGTTGTATCTTCGTTGATATCTCCAGCTATCTCAGAGGCAATCTGTTTCGCCAGATTTTTCGCTTCCTCATCCGGGGTAACTTCTGGGCTTCCTAGAATATTGGTTTTCGTTGCGAGATCAGCCATGGCAGATGCAATTTTGGCCTCTAGGTTTTCCTTCAACCCGTCGGCAACGGCCTTGATATAATTGTCAACCTGGTTTTCCGGAATTTTGTCCGCTAGCTTCTTCTTGATCACTGGATATATTGCACTGCAAATCTCTTCGGCCTTTTCTTCCGCCAAGATCTTCCCTCTCGCCTCGATAATATGCTCTTTGATGCGCCTTTCAAATTCATTTACGTTCTCCTTGATGCGCAATGTGGATTCAACCTCCTAGAAAGCTCGTGATTAGAAAGAAAATATTATCTTGGACATCCAAGATTCCACGCACCTGTTGGATATGCAGGATAAGCTTCCTAAGATGCTTCAACTGTGGTATGCCGTCTTTTTCACTCCAGCCTCGGAGAACTGCATTCTTTCCACTCCAGTACAGATGCAACGTTTTCACATCTGGCGCGGCGGTGCGGATAACCTCGGAGCACATATCGATCTTTTGCCAGTTCCAAATTTCGACTCCTTTGTCACGGAGAGTGCTTTCAATGCAAGAGTCGCTCTGCGCTGGCTCTTTCAGGTCGTCCACAATGACCTCTAGTATTCTCCTGACACCAGTCAACAATTTAAACACCTCTATCATGTCCGTTCGTCCACCGTAATTCGAATTCGTCTGTCGCTTTTTCATGTTTGCCTTGGGGGCCTCAGTTGTTCGAAAATCTTCAGTCTTGGTAATTTGCGGAAAGTCAACAAACTGAAGGGTATCCTCGAATTTCAGTGACGATGTTATTCGCTTGATACCTTTTAGGGTCAAATCAGATTTGTCCCTGAGATCAAGGTAGATGTCCTTCTGAGCGTCTTTCGTCATATCTATAAGCTCTGTCAGACCTGGTCTTCTTCTTTGTTTTCTTTTTTTTGCTTGAGTCAGAAAGAGATATGCTTACCTGCAGAGCCATACAGGATCTCTATAGCAGCATCGTGATCTCGTGTTCGAAGATAGTGCGTTTTAAGAAACTGCAGAATCTTTTCTACCTCTGTGACTGGCACACCTGATTGTGTCTTTGTAGCTTGGGACGTTGCATCGTTTCCCATGACGCCCGGTGTGTGACCTGCAACGGCGGGATTGTCCAACACCACCCCGGATATCTGAGAGCCAATCGCCTTCTCTGGCTGCGCAGGCGCTTTTGGGGGAATTTTAGTGCCGACTATCGTACTGCTCCGGCGTAGTGGCTTGGTATTCTCTTGGGGCAGTAGTTTGGCGTCATTGAAAACTTTTGTGCTTTCATTGTAACCATCCCTTCCGGACCCTTCTTTTCGCTTGTCCTTATTTAGCTTTGTCTTCTCCTTCTCTTCCTTTCTATCCTCCTCCCTTCCACCTTTATTTTTTTGGCGCTCTTCTTCCTTGGACTTCTGCTCCTGGAGCAGACGATAGGGTGACTGGCCCGCGTTGTTGAAATCACCCCCATCAGTCTTACTAATGATGTAACTGTCACATCGATTAACGATATCCTGGACTAGCGCAAGTCGGTTTCCAGTACATCGATTATATGCAATGGCCAAATGAAGGGGGGTGTTGCCATCGTCAGTTTTGGCGCTCAATGTTTCCTCCGAGGCTAAACCGACCAGCATCCTGGCCATAGTGGTGCTCCTTTTGTCATCCGCTTTGTCGATAGCCATGTGAATGCAATTTTTCGACATGTTCCTACTTGGAATCTCCAGCATCCGGTCGATGTCATCACTCGCCTGGCATATCAAACGCACTATTATTCGATTCTTGCGGGAGATGGCATAGTGTAGTGCGGTCAAGCCAGCATTTTCATCCTTCTCATACAAAAGTTCACCCAGTCCCTTGACAAGATAATCAACGAGAGGCCTCAGGTGACTCTCCCGGGGAAGGTCATCTTTAGCCATTTTCGCAAGCATGTGAAGGGCTGTTGGTTCTCCTTGGTCTTCTGTCTTCTGGAGTAGGCATTGCAAGTCTTTGAGGGGAAGCTTTTCAACCAATTTTTTTTTCACTTTGATCTCATGCAAAGTTGCTTCCAGTGCCCGGAGAACCGATTTCTTTTGGGTCTTGTTTTTCGAGTCCTGTCCGGGATTGGTGTTGTCAGACTCAGTGCCAGAGGAGGATACATCATCATCATCTGCCTTCTGGGTGCGTTCATTTTCTTCGCTCATTGTTTTCTCAGGGCAGGGTTCTCTGGGGAAAGTGATTGTCAGAGAACCACTTGATGAGCAAGTAACTACTCTGTACCAATATTCAAGTCATTTTTGAGATCCGTATATTGATAAGCTGCTTTCTATTATCTCCGGGCGCATGACTTTACCCCAACTGGGCCTCATTGCGTAGGATTTGTGAGCAATCATGCATTAGTTGAACTTTAGCCCATGCATCTTTGTCGAATGGGGAAATCTGACCGCATTAAATAATGCATGATACATGTTTCCATTCCTTATCACACAAATCGGCTCGATCTGACTCGCTGCTTGCTGCTTACGTTGGATATACATGGGGTATTGCTATCACGGACTGGACTGGGAGGGCAAGGCATACATAAAAATAGAAAAGTACGATGTCATAAAGCAGCTTACTATCTAACATATCATAACTATAGTGGAGTTACGCTAATCCTTCACTGACTGATTGAACAGTAACATTGGCAACCCCCTTCTCATCTCCCTGGACGCGTGTTTTTACCACATTTCCCAAGGTGGTATAGAACGTAACCCCGATACAGTCCTCCGGTTTGGCTGATTCTCCTAAGTTTCTCGTGTCATAATCCTTTCGCAAATTGTTTGTCGGCAGCAACTCCGGATCGAACAATATTGGATCATCCTTCCCCTTCGACGCCGAAAACCTTTTCAGCTCGGTTTTCCAATCAGCTGTGGTCTTGATCTTGACTGAGCACTCAAAATCGGTATTCTGTTGCCTCTTCAACAGTATTGCAGTTCGCATAAACGACGGAACTCCGGTGTTGGTCTCATCATTCTCAAGCAGCGCCCAGTTAACCCCAATCTCCCTTCCGTATTTATCGGTGATTGTGTTTCCTATCAGCCTAGTATCATGAGTCGTTGTCCGGCTGATCTCCCTGCTCCACTTGTAGGAACCACCTAAATTCGCCCCGGTAACAGGTGACACGTCAGCCTTGGCCTCGCCTTCGCGCATGTATGTCTCCTCTTGCTCCACCTCCATCATAGAATATTGGCCAAATGGGCTGACGGCATAGATTTGAGGACCGGGCGTTCCGGGCTCGGAACTACTGAATTCGAAGGTGATATTCACTGACGCTATGCGACGAAAGCGCTGCATCGCATTGAAAAAGAAATCATAAACAAGGAAAGTTGCATATTCCCACTCGTCCGATGACTCTGGACTCAATCGCCCATGGATCACCTCGCGGGACTTGCATCGGATGTCGACTGGTCCACGACGCTCGGTGATTGTTTGTCGCTGCCATGGGTTCTTGGGGTCATTCTGAGTATGGTAGCCCCCATCTTCCCCGCTTTCCTCCAGCGTAAGTCCAAATGATGTCTCATCATCGGAGTCCTCATCTGAAGGGTAATTTTCAATCTTGGAAAAAGCCGGTTCGGCCATACTGCCAGCCTTAATTTAGTCTTGCTTGGAAGGTATGTGTGGGTTTCACGTATAATGATAGTTCCGTGAGTGTAAAAGATAGCTTAAAACTGCGTGGCTCTGAGGTCTGAGGGTGCTATATATTACTTTGTAATTATGGAGCAATATTCACGCTTGACCAACCACGGAGCTTCGGATACTCGTTGTGGGGTGTTCATCGGACCTAGGAAATGTATGGACCAGCTTGAGGCATTAGCCATCGCCTCACTTGCCCCTTCCCTCCGATTGGTCTGCGGTGCATAACCAAAAATCCAGACATACAGGTCGGGAAAATCACTCCACTATCTCCGCACAGATGGTCCAAACTGTCTCTTGGACCGCATCCCCACTGAGCTGTTTAATTGTTTAATGCCTATGGCTGTTTTTGCGGCTAGTGGGAAACTCATTGACCTCAGATTCCTACCTGATATACTAGGCACTCCAACTGATACCCCTGTGAGGCGCTCTTCTCGACTTCGTGACGCAGTAACATCAGCAGAATGTCGCATTCAGAAATGGTCAAGTCCACGACTTCTTCACGCAGAAGCGTCTCTCCGGAACACATAGGCGATGGCGGCTCTTCAAAGGGAACGATCGGAGGGGGCACCGAGACCATTGGGGAGGGGTTGATTGTTCATTCGCGTCCACCATCTCCCTCTACTGATACACCGGGTATTGAGTACGCACGCCCGAAAGCCAATCTAGAGTGCAAATATGTACCTTCAAAGCAGGCTAACAAGTCTTTATCAGTATTGTGATTGTACAAGGCCTCGATCTCATACACCTTTCGGCAACGGAAAACAACAACGACTTTGAACCTAGTGAATGGATCCAGGATTACAGGGACTCACTGAGACTTTCGCGATTGACCGTCTTCAAATACAACGCACTTGAGGTTTTAGATGGAAATAATACTCGGACTGCGCTCCATCGAAAAGCGGTTCATTTGTTGCGAGACCTGGTGAAGCTCAGAGAAGATGAAATGACGACGGTTAGAGAACTATGTTTATCTGCCCTTTCATGAAAGCTGATTTGCATAGGAATGGTCCATCATATTCGTGTGTCATGATATAGGAGGTATTATCGTGAAAGAGGTCAGTCTATGCTATCGTTTGATTTTGCTACTGTTAATATTTATGCCACTTAAGGCTTTAGCACTCGCTTCCTTTGAGTATCAGAAATGGGGGAATGTATTTGACTACACTCGCATGCTAGTAAAGAATTTATATCCATCCACCATCTTTACTTTTATCTAATACTTACCAGGTGTTCTCGGACTGTCCCAATGGTGGATCTACTACGCAGGATATACAAATCAAGCTATCCCAGCTGGTGTTCAGTTCCTCCAAGCGAGCGTCTACTATGGCCCCTTCCATACTGTTCTCTATCAATCAATTGGCTTATGCCGTTCAAGAAATTGACGGACTCTTCATCGACTCCAAAATCCTTTTCCAAAGCATCTTGATCACTCTTTTTCCAGGCCCACCTTTCCTAGAATCTTCCCTGGGACTAAATTTGGAGAAAAGCTTCTTTGGAGAACCTTACAATGGGCTGAATGAATATCTTGGCAAAGTCGACATCCGTATGTCAATATTACCCATCAGGACTGTCTATATACTAAAGCGGTTTTCAGGTTTAACACTTCCAAATAACCAATACCTACAGCTAAAGCGCACTCTTCTTTCGCTGTCATCTCCTATCGAGCCTCTGAACACAACACCCGATATCTTGAATAGCGGCCTCGTTGAGCTTCAGACCTATAAAGAATGGATGGGCTACAGAGGATCACAGGTATTGCATGTGTATGGCACCGATGGTATCCACCAGGCTGGTATCCAGATATTCCATTCTCTTCGAAGCCACGAGAGGGTTGAGAGTAGTCATGGTATGGTGCTTTACTTCTCTTTCGACAACACAGATGACCGCCGTAGCACCATGAAAGACATGCTGTGCACATTCTTGGCTCAGCTCATCTGTAATGCTCCAAAAGATCTTTCATCTCAAATTGATGCTTATTTCGAGCAGCTCGACGAAGAGCATGGCTGGAGTACCCTGGATCTTCTACAATGGTACCGTGCTTTCCTCCAGCATGATGTAACCGGGAATGTATTCTGCGTGGTCAATCATTTGGATGAATGTTCCGAAGACGATCAAAAATCCCTTCTTACACTTTTATCGACACTATCTGAGTCCGGAAAGAGCGCTTGGAAGATGGCTATTACCACGGGAAAGGTATCGGAGCCCATCTTCTCTTTGCTCAGTGACTGGCCATCAATCGACGTGGATGGCATTGTGTTAGATGATCCCGCAAAAGAGCTATCGAGGATCGACGACGACGAAGGAATGTGTCTCCTGCGTCTCAGGCCAGATATCCAGTTTATCGGCCGATCCCTAGACAAGGAAATCCACTTCGCTTCTTCTCTCCCCCCACTAGCTCGACATATTGTTGTTGAGCAGGCAAGGGTACATAAAGAATGGCCGCAAGACTTACCTATCCAAACAATCATGTCTGGGAAACACGAAAATGATGATTCTTCAAAGGAGACCCCCCGGGTTGTTGAGATGTTCTTGGACGCTTTACTACGAAGGATACCCGATCAAGTATTTGTTCAAAAGTTGTTGACATGGCTTCTATATGCAGTACGGCCGCTCACTATCTGGGAGTTGGCAACCGCAATGTCTTTGGGCTCTATTGACTCAGAAGGCGAAGCTCTGATAATCTCAGAGGAGTTTGAAGTGCAAAGTCTGAAGCAGAAACTAGAGGACTGGTTCGTTGGCATTGTCGAGATCAAGCTAAACGAAGTTCGATTCACCGATCGTCGTGTGAGGGACATCTTCATGCGTCGCCATCAGCCTGACAGCCCTGCGTTTGTATGGACCGGGATACAGGATTCTGCCCAATATGATATCACTAAGTCCTGCCTTGAATATTTATCTCTTGGCAGTGTCCAACTTGAAATGGAACGCCTATATCAAGGTCCCGAGACCCAGCCAGTCCATTCTGATGATCGACGAAGCCTCTGTGGTTACGCGATATTGAAATGGGCAATGCATTATTCAAGAATTCAAGACTCTTCAGCTTCATCGAAATTGCTCAATGCTTATCTGGTTTCTGCTTTATCGAATTCTTGGATTAAGGGGAATTGGGCACTTTCAAACCCATTCACCCGATCCCGCTCCATCCCCGAGTCCAGTTACTCGGTTTTGGCTGGATTGGGAATACTAGGTCCGGTTGAATCGAATGACTCAAAAGAGAGGGAAATGGCTCTTGTCGAAGCAGCAAGATACGAGGAATTGACGTCGGTTAGTGAATTGCTGGAGCCGTTTGATTTCCCGCAATCGGTTTTGCTAGATGCTATCATCGCGGCTAGCCATTCGGGGAATGAACGGATCATGTTGCAAATGCTTTCGAAGATCCCTACTCTCGAAACCTCTAGTATGGATGATCGGATTATATATCTTCTATATCGTGCAGCCAAGCTTGGCCTTGCTGAATTTGTTGAGCAGCTTTTGGCAAAGGGCTGTCCCCCAGAGCCAGTTGGGGAGGTAGGAATTTACCGGGATAAGAGCCCACTCATATACGCAGCCTGGAAGGGATATACTGCAACTGTCCATGCTTTTATTGAACATCATGCAAATGTTGAGTTCAGAGACAAAGATGGCTATACACCACTGAATCTAGCTGCAGTTTCGGGGAGTGCTGCCACGGTGAAAATGCTGGTCCAAGAAGGACATGCAGAACTTGAAAGCAGAAATGATGGCATGACAGCGCTCTATTTTTCTTGTCATATGTCAATGCATCAGACCGCTGCTGTGCTTCTCGAGCTGGGTGCAGACCCTGACATGGGATATTCCAATGAGACGAGCTATCCACGCTGGTCGCCCCTCATCTTAGCAGCTTCGGAAGGATATGTGGAATGCGTGAGGGTCTTGCTCGAACATGACGCTGAGCCCAATATCCCCGGACCTTGGGGAACCGATACACCACTCAGATATGCTGCTATCCACGGCCATGCCCAGATTTGTCAATTGCTGGTTGAGCATGGTGCAGACCCGAACAGTCCTCTAATTCGCCCACCTATCCTCACAGAGGTGATTCTTCGATACTCGGGTGGCTCTGCTGTTTCAACTCAACAAGATATGATTGAGCTGCTAATTGGACTCGGCGCTGATATAGACAAAGAGGGTTCAGATGGAAAAACCGCGCTGATCACTGCTGTAAAGAATGGCGAGCTTGAAATCGTGAGGCTCCTCTTGAAGTACAATGCTGCGGTAAACACAAAAGTCTTCGATAACGACGACGAGTACCCAGGATGGACAGCAATGTCCTTTGCAGCGGATGGTGGCAATGTGGATATTGTCCGAGCGCTGGCAGATGCAGACGCTGATCTCAACCATAAGACGTTTGACAGAGAGCTGGCTCCTCTGCATCTAGCCATTTCCAACGATGCTCTCCGAATACTGCTTGAATACCGGAAGAGGATCGACATCGACCAGCTCACATTGAGTGGAGATACACCTATCCTACGGCTGCAACGAACGGATGTACCAAACGACAATTTGAAGCGTCTCATCAATGCTGGGGCAAGTCTGAATCTACAGAATAATCTTGGCGATACAGTCCTCACTATCGCCGCGTACGACAACAACCTTGATATTGCATGCTACCTTCTCAAGCAGCAGGATATTGATACCAGTATTTATTCTCCATCTTACGGGGCAGCTCTGCATCAGGCATGCCGCCGGGGTCATACGGAGATGATTGAACTGCTGGTTAAGAATGATGCCGACATAAACCAGACATTGCCAATAATATTTGGAACACCACTTCAGACCATCTGCGGGAGATGGGATCACAATGGGTCATCAGCCTCGATGAGACATATGGAGTATCTTCTTTCCAAAGGCGCCGACATCAACAAAGTTGGGAGAACACTTGGCACGGCTCTTCATATAGCCTGCTGTGCATGTCCCCCCGAGGTCCTTTCTTTTCTCCTAAGTAATGGAGCTAAATGCGATACCGAGGACGCTCACAGCAGGAGACCAATTCACTTTGCGGCATTCCGGGGCATAGAACATTTCAAAATCATCCTCGAGGCGGGCGCAGACATCAAAGTTCGTGACGGGATGAAGAGGACCCCATTGCATTGGGCAGTCCAGCGGGGACGTGAAGAGGTTGTCCGGTTCATTCTGGCCGAATTGGGCAAGGAGTGCATTGACGAGGGCGATATCGACGGCTGGACTCCCCTATGCTGGGCTGTCAGAGGTACACCTAGTTTCACTTTTATCCCAGACAAATCCGGCTCAGAAGACCCAGACCAAATAGAAACCATCAAAGTGCTTCTAGAAAATGATGCGGATAAAACTAGGTATGGCTCGATCGGTGATGTCGAATGGAGACCCCTGAAGATTGCGCTGTACAGCGGCGTGCATCGCGATGTTGTAAGCCTGTTGAGCACGCCGGACGCGCGGCACAAGCAGAGACGCAGCCATGGGGAATCTTGGATGGGTCCTGATGGAGACACAAGGCCAGCTGATTTAAAAGATGGAAAAATCTGTGACTCTTGTCTTTGGGTAAGTAGCCTCCCCTTCCTTATTCTGTACACACTTGATATATTTCTAACACGAGTAGGCAATCCATGGTTTACAGTATCATTGCCAAGTTTGTGATGACTACGATCTCTGCCACAAGTGCTATGCTCGCCGAGATATTATTCATTCTCTCGACCATACATGGAGGGAAGAAGGCCCAGAATATCCAGATGCGTCTGGTTCAGAGTCAGGCCGAGATGATTCTGCTGATGAGTCTACCGAGATGTCTGATTCCGATTCCGATTCCGATGCGAGCCCTCATTACAGCAGTGATGACGACATTGGCTCTGAGAAGCGGACGAATGGCGTTGATGATTCCGGTGATCATAGTGACTCGGATAACAGCTAGGGTCAGGGAGACTCATGTAGTCTAGTCAAGGCTTTAGTGGACTCTTCATATAGAGGCATCATCCAGACAACGAGTATAGCATATTTCTTTTGGATGTAGCCAGTGTATTCCATTAGAAAATTGACAGCTCCTCGAATATTTTCGGCGACAGGGGGGGGGGTGAATCCCTGAATTTGTCAGAGCCATTACAGCCCTGGAGAGTACCTAGATATGTTGTACATATCTAGGTATATTTTAATCCGGGGCATGGTTTGCGCAGCCCGGCTCTTTCTCTTGCTTTAGCTAATTCGAGGGTGAGAAATTTTATACGCTGCGTAAGTACCCTTTGTATGGGCAGGTCATACAAAAGATACCTAATGAAAATCAGGGATCTACTGGGGTGGACCAACACATTGTGTATGTGTTACAACATAGGTGCTTGGGACGGTTATATCTACTCTGTACCTTAGGTAGTCCCGGCATTGCCGGAAGCACCAAACTCCTGGGACTAGGAATAGAGTACTCCGTACTCTGTAGATTAAAATGACCCACACTGAAAGGAATCTCTACTCCGTAACTATACAACACATCCATGGATACTCCGTGCACATGCAAGTGCACACCGTAAATTGGATTTGATCCAACCAAATCTCAATACTAACCCCGATCAAGCCAAAGCACAGGCAGCCACAGAGTACGTCCCCGTAAACAACATGCCATTCCCCGAGACAACCCCCTAGATAAATAAACAAGAAGGAGCAAAAGGATCAAAAGGATCCAAATGTCATACGAGTCAGGGTACCTAAGTAAGCCTAGATCCTCCACATCACCCCATAATCTCCATAATCTCCATAACCCTCGTGGTTCTGGACAAGGCTCTTACTCTGAAACAGTTTAGGTGGAGTGGATCACAAGCCAAAAAGTACCATCAGACGATGGTGTCTGTGCAGTGACAAATAGGAGTGCAGTAAAAACTAATGGAAATGAGGCATAAACAGGAACATACAACATAAATAGAAAGCAAAGTAAACAAAGTCAACAAAATCAACAAAACCAGCAAAACCAGCAAACGTGTAAAACAGAAAAGTAAACCGGGGATAACTCGGCCGGCCGAGTCCTCGCAGCCGTGCACTCCACCTAACCCTTTCTCCCTTCTTCTTCTTTTTCTACAACATACAAGAGCAGAACAGCCTCGGAGAAGGGAGCTGCAAGCTAAGAGCAGGGATCAGATTTGATGACGTTTGATTTGAAAGTCTACACATAAGTACGGGGTCCGTACTCCATATTAGATCTAAAGAAAAGGATCGGTCGGCCGAATCATTTGAAACTTGAAACTGCCGGACCCTCCAGAGCTGCAGGTGAAATCTAAGAGAATCTGCCGAATTCTATGAATTTCAACTTCCTACTTTCTACTTTCTACTTTCTACTCCTTTCAAGACTGACAGAACTCCCTACAAGACTAACAAGTACAAACATCCAGGACCTTCCATATAATTTTTTGGATCCATATATCGATATCATTCTTCCCCACAGGGTAGGTAGGGGGGGAGAGTATGTATATAGCACAGAAGATGCTAACCTCATAGGAAATGTCCAGGTATTGTATATTCCCGATCTCCTATGTTCCGCAAATGCCAGCACAGGGAAACAAAACAGACTCCGGAATATGTGAGCAGTTATACTACTGGTTTGTCCCCACTCATGCTGGGGAATAACATCACATCCGAAACACGACCCAGAATATTCCGCATGCTCACGCCTTCCACCGGCTGCAGACCTGCATTGGTGGTGGATGGCATGTTGGGACTGGGTTCAAGAGAGGGAGGGGAAGGCAACACAAGGGGGGAATATGTTGTACTCGATAGTTGCCCTGTCGGAGTATTCGTGCGAGCGCTGAACGCCTCACGGATCTCACGCAGAGCACGGAGGGATGAAGAAAGATGCTTGGCGGAGTCGGTACGGTTGTTCTGGTCCATGTCACCGTCTGCATAGACATGGTCTGCCAGAACCATCTCCAGCCTGTCAATCAGCTGCCAGGTCTGAGGACTGTCGTCATTTGCAACGAGCAAAAATGCTGATGCAATACTTCGCTGCAGGCTGATCCAGGACCGTGAGCAGTGAGAATTGATCTCGTGCAATTCGACAAAGGCGGCGATTGTGTTGATCAGGCTGCTGATACAGTCTTCGCGAATCATGGCGCGACGCGGTGGCTCCAAATGGGCATGTGGGTCGAGCGACACACGACACAAGACAGAGAGAAGATACGAGGAGTGCAGGTGCAATTCGGTTCGCTCAATGTGCTCGGCTAGAGTCTGACATTTGTCTCGATACCGCAGATGGGGAGTCGCCTCAGCGAGCATGCGGTGGATCTGGTGTTTATACTCACGGATCTCATTGTTTCGTATATGGGACGATCCGGGATACATGCGCGACCGAAGAACTTCCAATGCCAAGGATACAATGCGACAGAGAGTCTCAAAATACGAGCGATGGCCCGGCATTGATTTGGGATCGAATGGAATTTCAGGTTGGCTAACCATAGTGATCGATGGCCGGTCATAGGCAAGTGAGAAATGGCTATTCTGGAAGGCCATTGTCCACCTGAGAAATGTGAGCTTGAGATCAACCAAAAGAGAAAAAAAAAAGGATACCTACCAGACACGCCTTCGCACTTCCTGTTCTGCAATTGAGAACCCGGTCGACTCAACATGAAGCCCGAGAACAAGACACATTCGCTCCGTCATACCTGATATCGATTAGCTCGGCCATCTCATTGGAAGCACTCAACACGTACCAAGCAAGGTATATGATGCACCTGCATTCATATTGTATGAAAGTACATTGCTAATGATGAGAAGAATCTGAATTACTTCTACAGTGGGTTGCGATACATAATTCAACATCCGAAGACATTGATACGAACACGAAACTGGAAACAGTCAGTACAGCACTCCCGATCTTCTTCGAATGCGACGCACCATATACCCATGAGGTCAACTCACGGTCGCTTTCTGGGATACCGGACAGCTGACAACCCGATGCAAGAACCGCAAAAAGCAGACTGAGAAAAGCCAATGGCATCCCAAACGGTTTCACTAACCCGTTGGCATCGGCTTTATAAACACCCCCTGCTCGTCGTCGATTATCAAGAAGCCGTTTGGTTTGTCGTTCTAATTGTGGGATGTCCGAAAGGACTGGGTATAAAACTGATCCTATATCTTGGTAAAACCCGAGGAACCTGATAATTGGAATTAGCATGCATCGCAGAACATCGCAAACCTCCGACTTACTCCAAGCACCGTCCGTCTTCTGGAATAACCGCACAAACACCGGCAATGTTGAATGTGAACGGGTCAGAGGACCACAAATCCACAAAGGGATATGCAGCCGACTCATTCCCCAAAGCAAGTTCGGCAAGAAGATCATCCTGGGGCAGCGCCTGCGCTGTGTCCTCCGACCTCTTCGATTTATCCAAGATATCAACCAGGGCCGACCGCGACCCGATATGTACGGCGCCCGTCTTCAAGACATTGGATCCGTAGACACCTTCCGACCGTGTGGAATCTTTTCGTTCGGTGGGTTGTGATTCTGGTTTTGGTTCTGGCGGCTTGTGAGTCGAGTGTGTTTGGAAAAGCGAGTGCAGACTGCCGAGGATCTGTTCCATTGCGACCATCTTGGTATTGATTTCATCCCATTCCGCCTGGGAAATATCGATGATATCCGGTAAATCCGGATCGGCGCTGGTGCTTGAGGGATGATCGATTGCATATGAGCCATCGATTGTAGGAGCTGAGCTGGTATATGGGGGGATCGTGGGAGATACGAATGTAGGTTGCTGTAATGGGGTGGAAGAGGCAGTGGTGACGGCAGTAGGGAGGGGTTGTTTCGCAGAGGATGGACGACCGTAGGAGCAGGTGAAGTTTCGCTTAGTGCAATTGCCGCAGGGGATGTTGCGATCGCAGCGGACTTTGCTCGCTCGACATGGTAAACAGGTTTTGCACTCGCGCGGGCGGCGACGGATAGGGTAAGTTGGCATAATGTGAATTTTCGACTCTCTTTTTTATTCACAGCTAGATCCCCGTGATCGACAGCAGAGAAATTATCGGAGAGGCTGCCTGCGGCGACCGGACAATAAGAGGGAGCGGCATAGGAGGACGTAGATCGAGTTCAAGGTTGAAAATGGACAGCTCCCACTGGTGCTGACCAGTCGGAATAGCGCCAATAACGAATCAGTACAAAAGCCTAGCCCTGAAATCGATTGATGCGTCCAACAGTGCCTATCATCGGGGGTCCGTGAGCTGCCCCGGATTGTCCTGCGAATAAACACAGAAACTTTGGGAAGAAGAGCCGAGGAGGTTCGAGATAAGATGTGACGAGTCTGAAAAGACTTAAGCTTCAGCTTTGACAATGATGCCAAAGTGAAGTGTTCGTACTCGTAGGATTGGCCTGATTCAAAGAAAGTTGAAAGTGGGAAAGTAAATTGTGAAGTTGCCCGGGGGTGGCAGATGATTTCATAACCTGGCGGATGTTCCCGTTCGCTACGGATGTGACAGGCGCCCTGATTTGGTGGATTCGGTGGATTTGGTCGACTTTGGTTATATTTTTGGTGTGACTTGAGTTATTTGAGGATTAATATATAAGTAGATATGTATATGTATATTATCATTACTTTTCTTCTTTATTACATGTATATGCAAGCTAATCGTATGAGTTAGCTCTATTCTATATATTCTATACAGAAGACCCCTGAGTCATACAAAGTCATGATCATTTCTATAACGGATAAAAGATATCACTCATACATCAGTAATTGCCGAAGGAACTCATACACATGTGTGCCTCTGTGTAAGAAAATAACATATATTTCACGCCTTGGACTTCTTTTCGGACACCTGCGGTACCACCCACCAGTCATGCCAACGAGACTTGGATCCAACCTCAGGAACAACCACCTCCAAGTTGAGAGGTTTGTTGTCAGTGGAAGATGCCGTAGAGAGAGCCTTCTTGACCGCCTCGACAGC